TAAACAAATATATAACTTCATCCAAATGATCTGGAAATGCGAAAAGATTGTTTGTTGTTGTTGGTGGCGTTGGTGGTGATGTTGAGAATGAAAGAGCAGACCTTTTAAGGGCAAGCCAACCCGCGCGCGCAAAGGGCACCGGCCTGAGGCCAAACGGTGTAAGAACGGCGCTTCGAGGCCTCCCGTTTGTCAGATTTGCGACGGCCGTGTAAATGTAGCAGAAGGAAGGAAGCGATGCGGGAAGGGCGGAGCCCCCCCCCCCCCCCCCCCCCGAAGACAACGGCTCTGAGCGACCTCCTCCTCCTTCCCGTATCGACGCGAGCCCCGCGCGTTAAGTGCGCACGACCGATAATTTTGCGCAAACGCGCGCGCGTGCACGCAATTTTATATCTTTTGTGCGCGCGTAAACTTCCGCTGATGAATATTTCAAGCGATCTCGACGTACTATTTTCTCTCCGCATCTCAATCAGGGCACGTTAACTCCGATGGGTTATGGCATGCGCGCTCAATAATGCATGCGCGAATATTAGCTGAAGTATTAATGGGAACCCCATTAAAATTCCCGGGCCTCCCATAAACACGCGCCGACGCCAAAGCGCGTTTTTGCCGGCCCGGTTCACGGGAGCCAATGGAAGTTCATCATATTCCTTTTGGGGGGGGAGGGTATATTTGTCCGTTTTATTTTTTTTATTTTTAACGCATTATCTATATATTTCATCAAGGAATATCGCGTACGCCCGTCTGTAAGCGGAGCCTGTCGCGAGCCAAGATAGCCGAGACGCTCGGGTGTCGAGTTTGTCAACCAAGCTTTGTTGACACATCGCATTGCTATGGAAAGGGTATAAACATTTTTGCATCAAATTTGCCACGCGGTATGAGTGGTGTTGGCCACCCACCGCCTCGTGTGGCGTGCCGGCCTTTATAGCAGCACTTGCCCCTACAGTATGTTGAGGCTTCACGGGGGATCTTTGTATTTGGAGTCTTAATGGAGCTGAACGGACAGAGAGTGAGGGCCATCGTCACCGTCATCATCACCGGCAATGGTCAATCCACTGCTGGATGAACGCCTCCCCAAGCCGCTCCGTTATTATTCTTTACCACTGTACACACTCCCTGAGCGAGATAACTAAATAACAATCGTCAATATTGTATTATCTAGATTATTAGACAGGCGTTTTGCCCCTGTAGTTTAAAACAAATGTTGGAGGTGCTCTTTATAATCCTGTAAGACCAAATTTGTATAACTTTATTGATACCAAGTAGACATTTGGGGTGCGTCTTACCTTCCGGAGCATCGGAGAATCCGACGAATGCGGGTAATAAACACGCGTTAATGGGCTAATAACACCTTAACGTATATAGAGGACCGCAGATCTCGGGCAATTGTTGGTGGTGCCGGCTGCTCATCGCGTGGCTCCTGCCGTCCCACTCATCTGAAATTCGAGGTGCGTCTTACCGGTGTGCAGCAGCTCGTGGGCTCGATCCTGACCCTGACGCCTGATGTTTGTTTGGAGTTTGCGTCTCTCTCTCTCTCTCCCCGTGGTCGCGTGGATTTTTCTCCGGGTCCTCCGGTTTTTCCCTCCACATTTAGAATCAACATCACGCGTGTAGAGTGTTTGGCTTCTGCTATAAATGTCCACGTGCTGAGCCATTTCGCTGAGCTATCATTTGTGGTAGCCAGGTCGCGTCTGCTAAATGAGCTGTATAGCTCAGTGGGCCTTACATGATAAATTAAAGTAAAAAAATTGTTAAAATAGTAAACATTGGGATGTTTTGATTCCTTGTTAAAGGTTTCAGTTTGGTGTTTTAATATCTTAACACCTGTATTGTTGCCAGAAAAAAGGGGAAAACCTATTATCATGTTTTGCCAATTGCAATATGGAAAGTTTGGCTTTGGGTGGAATTTAACCAGCAGTGCATCGCTGAGTCTCAAACAGTCTGATCATCATCATCATCATTTCTTGAGAACCGCTTTTGCGTTTAGTTTGTTCTTTTGCCACACCTCCGATTAGCACGGTTGGATACGTGCTGTGCGAAAGAAGTTCAACATACATACATACATCACCACCACCACCATCTGGCTTGAGGTGTACAACCTCCCAGTCAAGTTGAATTACGCGCAAAATCTATTTTATGCCGAAAGATAAACAAGCATTGCTTCCGTTGAGCTCCACGCGTAGCAATGCGATCTCGATTTAGTCCACCGGCCTGTTGATTTTCTGAGCGAACATTAACTCAGAAGCTTTTGCTTCAACGATGTTAACTTTAGAAGGTGTCTCTCCAGCACGGTCAGTCCTGTTACGCAAATTGTGCTCGGCTACCAGATGCTGTTACCGGATAGAGCACTTCCTCAATATCGTATAAAACATCCTATCTGTCGTTTAATGTATATAAAAAAGCGAAATCTGTGAATATGTGTGTCTGTTCAACATGTTTAGCGTACTTCCCGACATGCAACAAACTTGAAATTTGCCATGTGGGTACTTTCCAGACTGTACACCATGCAAAGATTATAAAAATAGACTTTTGTATTTTTTGGGGGGTGGGAGGCGCAATAATGCATATATTTTGCACGGCAAGTGAGCTGTGACGTCACATCTGTCATGTGACCCGCATGCGGAAGCGTCACGCAGTGTGCCTGCTCATGTCACGCACCCCCCCCCAACCCTCCGCGAGTAGAGTGCCATACAAATGTGTTGCAGGTCTCAGGCGTTATTCGCGCAGCATTGCTTTATTATTTGAGTCGTTTACTGCCGTACAGTAAAGTTGTGTGAGTCTGCAGCAAGCGCGTGTACGTGTACCTATGGACGTGCGCGCGCGTTTGTGTGTTGGGGGAGCGGTAGTGTAGTGGTTAGCGCGCTGCGCTGCGAACACGGCGACCCGAGTTCGATTCCTGCTCACGGCCACCACCGGTGACGATTATTTGAACCGGTCATGGGCCTCCCCTAGCTCGACTCAAACGAGTAACTGGTGTGGTGTGTGAACATCACCAGTGGGGAGACAAAGGCGGCCGGGCGTGGTGAATCCAAGTCCCGGGCGAAGCCGGGTTAGCAAAGCTAGTATACAGTATATATTAAAACACTGTTCCATATACCGCGTGAAAGCCCTCAGCGCAGAAGATCCCTGGGTTTTGATCTTCCACGAAGCTCACCCTAAACCGCATCGACTGCACAAAAACGTGGCAAGATGCGTGATGTGGAAAACTCTCCAGCAGTGTGTGACCGTGGTCATCCAGAACATACGAAGGAGAGACATCAAAGCAATGATGAGACACTTCGCTACTGCTCCTTGACGCAGTTATCTGGGCGTGACAACCCGAATGTGAAAATGTAGTTGTCTGCTCTGCATCTACATCAGCCATACGATATGAATACGACTGTTCTATATTGTGTGTGCAGAGGACGAAAGCCAATATTTGAATCATTCTTTTATACCGAACATTGTGAATAGAGCAGTTGGGCCTACATGTGTAAGAATATGGCTAGGGTTGATTAATCAATACTATCGTCAGGATCGTGATCCATCATCATCATCACCAGCAGCATCAGTAAAATGAGCACTACTTTGTGATGCTGTGGCACTTCCGTTAAGACACGGTGGTGCACAAGCACAGATAACATTCTCAACACATCTGTCAATAACGCTGTGGCGCCTTAAAGGGAAAGTATATAATAGGCGACGTTTTGAGCAATGACCCTTTGTCACGGCACGGCCTCAACAAAAAAATAATAGGCGACGTTTCGGTGCAAATTGCGAAGATTAAAAACAAATCAACGGCTGGTTGCGTTCATGGAGTGAATGGGCACTGCCATAGAAATGTGTAATTTACACCACCAACCAAAACTATTTTCAGAGAACCTACTCCACCGTTATTAAGGGGTGGGCGGACGCTTCGGTTCAGATTCACATGGCCAAGAAGGCGGATCGATTTGGGCGATTTCTTTGGGGAAAGATATACGGCAAGTTTTTTGGACCCAAAACTAAAAAAATATCTAATCAGGCCCTTAATCCCACCCCCCCCCCCCAAATCTCCCCCTTACCATCACCGCATCTATAAAGACGCACATTGCTGCTTAATGTTACAAACGGGGGCATAAATATTTGGCATTTGCTCGACTCACCTGGTTCTCTAATGGATCAGGGGGCAGACAGACACCACGCATTAAGTGTCCAAACATAGCTCTGGCTCGCTCAATTATTAACCACTTCCAATGCGGGCCACTCACGAGGATAGATTAGATACATTGCTGTGTGTGTGCGTCTCTGTATGTGTGTGTGTGTCAATTAATGCTCCAACGGCACACGAGGGAGTGGTTCTGTCGCCATTACGACTCCCGGCCGCCTTTGTCTCACCTCCCTCTCCCCTCCGAGTTGATGTTTATAGGCTGTTAAACAGCGATCGCTAGCGAAGCGTACGTGTGTAATGCACCAGTCAACGAAATATAATGGGGCTTCAATTCTAAGACACTGCCTGCTAACATGTGTGCGCATCTGGTGCCTGAATTTGTGCTGGGCTTCCCCTAGGTAGACTCAGCCTTAAATGGGTATCTCCAGTGTCGCGTGTAAATATAAAAAATAAAATCAACACTGGGGAGACAAAGGCGACCGAGCGCGGTGCTGTTCACATCACCGCCTCGCGTGTCGGCCTTAATAGGTGCTCGCGAACAGCAACTTGCCCTAAGACCACCTTTGTCTCCCCGTTGCTAATGGTTACGCACTGCACTGGTTAAGCTGCGGTCCCTGCCCACACCTGCAATCGGTTCGATTCCCAGACACGGCTCACATCAGTGGCGAGTGATATCCGAACCGGTCCCTTGGGCTCGCCGAGGTCGACTCAACAACCTTCCAAATTGAGTGCCGTATACCCAACTGGTGCGGTGAGGGGGGGGGGGGGGTGGGAAAGAAAAAAAAATCGGCATTGGGGAGACAAAGGCGGCCGGGACGTGGCGCTCGCCACCCGCACCACACCCCTTGCATCAACAGCTCGGTGCGCTAACTACTTCGCCCACCGCTCCCTCTCACAACAAACCGTTCTGCGCTGCCGATTGTTCACGCAGGGCGAGAAGCGTCCTCCTGCGCCGCTCTCGTGGGTGACCAAGTCAACAACGCGCATCCTCCGGGTTCCTCGACCTACAACGCCTGCCAAGCGCTGGGCGGCAAGGCGCTTCCCTCGGCCGGACAATACGCGCGCTGGGTGATGCTGCAAACGCCGTGCAAACAGAACGCCTGCGTATAAGCATTGCATTGCATGCGCGCACGTATTTTTCGACGTTCGTAGATTTATCATATAAGTGATTAATTATAAATATACACACACACACGCGCGACGCACACACATATATACACGCACACACATATATGTTACAATATTGCATTGCACACACACACACATACATGTGTACTGTACATTCACGAGAAAAGGTAAAAGCGCTGCCCCTGATTGCTTGCTCACGCCACCGCTGGCGAAAGGGGCCTCCACTCTCGAGGGAGCTCCGCAGAGCATCGTCTCGACAGGGCACTTGGCCTACTCTTCCACGCTGCCCATATTAATTCCACATCAATTCCACCCACGCCACGCGCGTACACGCGTCTGACACGCATATGGCCCACTCGCACCACACTTAGTCCCGCCTACAGCACAAGCGGCAACAGTCGCACCTACGATTAGCACGCTTGCAGAAGGAGTTCAACAGACGAGCTCACGCAACGTTCAGCAATCGCCGACGACAAAAAAAACCATCGACAATCTTCAGCCGCCGAGCATTGGAGGACGCCTCCGCCGTCGCCCGTGCCAGGCTAGGTGCACCCCGAGGCCGCACGGACAACTCAGGGCAGCGGGAGTGGAAGAGGTGTGGGGGGGTAGCGGGGGGGGTGTTCATCACTGCAGAATGCAGATATGGCCCCACAAGCTGCAAAGAGCACTTTCGTTGGCGCGGCGCCACCGGGACCGCACAGCTTCAAGAAGTTCACTCCGGAGGTGCTGGAGGAAATCGAGAGGAGGATCGCCGAGGAGAAGCAGCGAGCCGAGAAAGTCGGCAGCGACGGCGGCACCGAAGAGGAGGACGACGACAAAAAGCCGAAGCCCAAGAGTGACCTGGAGGCCGGCAAGGGACTGCCCATGATCTTCGGCGACATCCCTCCGGACATGGTCGGCATCCCCCTCGTGGACCTGGACCCGTTCTACAGCTCGCAGAAGGTAAACCAACGACCCCCACCCGCTCCCCCCCCCCCCCCACACGCCGGCGCCGACGCTGGATCCTCAAGGTAGTCAATGGATTATTCCGGCTGGCTTAAACATATGAATCAATATACCGCCAGAGGTACACCCGTTGTGTTCATGTCACAACATTGCATGTACAGGGACTCCTCTACTCAAGAACGAGTTCTGTTCCAGAGGTCTGTTCGTAAGTCGATTTGTTCGTAAGTCCAACTTTACTCTTGTCGATTCCAAACACGTTGGACGCCGTGCACATTAAACATGGGGAATGGCTTTAAAAGTTGTATAATCTCCTGTAGATTCCACTGGCTCTTCGCGTTCTGCAGATGTAGATGCCACTACCGTCATCTATTGCGCGGCCGTTGAACTTACGACTCTCAGTCCGAACAAGCAACTGGACCGTATGGACTCGTTTGTTCGTATCTCTGAAAGTTCGCAAGTCGATTGTTCATAAATAGTTGGGTCCCTGTATACTCGTGGTGAAACCGGTAACCACGGTATATATTTTGTACCAACTGGTTTTCTTCTTGCGGTTACCGGGCGATGAAAATAAATAATAGAACCCCCTCCACGATTGATTGTACACAAAAAAAAACACTTGGAGAAATGTAACCTCCGACCCCTGACCCCCCTTCCCCCGTGTGTCACAGACGTTCATCGTCGTCAACAAAGGCAAGGCGATCTTCCGATTCAGCGCCACCCCGGCGCTCTACATGATCAGCCCCTTCAACTTAATGAGGCGAGGTGCCATCAGGGTCCTGACCCACACATATCCTTTTGGAGTTCCCGTCTTCGAGGAATTACAGGTTTGGGATGAGAAGTTAATATCCCACCGGAGTAAAACCCGCAAGAGCTAAGGAAGCTCATCTTTTAAAGGGGGCGACTCGGCCCGCAGACAAAACATAATTTCTGAACCCTGCTGGACATCTGTGAAAAAGAGCTTCTTAGCTCATCGGATGTCTACAGGATGAACAAAGGTTCTGATTCTGATCAAAACAAAGCGAATGTAACACAGGTTGCAATTATGTTGTAAAATTACATTGGCGCTTAAACTTGAGTGGTTTTAAAAGAGTGTAAGGGGCCGTCCATAAATGACGTCACGCACCTAGGGGGGGTCAGACATTTGTGACGATGTGTGACGTCACATCAAAATGCGCAACTTTAAATAAATATAGACAACACGTTCTACTTAATTAAATAGACTTTTTAAAAAATGTTTTCTCCAACAAAAATAAAACATGCTTCAAAGCGATTTTAAGCATGTTTATTTTCAAAATGGAAATATGGTTCTGGGGGGGGCAGAGCTTTGTGACGTCATATTTGAGGTCTGACTTTTTGTGACGCCGTGTGACGAGGGGGGGGGGGATCAAAATCGCCCAAAATCGCGTGACGTCATTTATGGACGGCCCCTAAATGAGGACAGAGGTGGCACAATGGAGGGTGAAGAGTGGCGGGGGGGGGGGGGGGTGGGTGTAAGGTCCTCGTCTTCTTTTTCGTATGGCTGAGGAAGCAGTCGTAGCTCGGTGTCGAGGTGAGCTATCCATTCAACAGCTTCTGGTGAGGCCAGCGTCGTAGTAGCAACATTATCAGTGGCGTGATAGTGACATTATCAGTGGTGTAGTAGCGACATTATCAGTGGCGTGATAGTGACATTATGAGTGGTGTAGTAGCGACATTATCAGTGGCGTGATAGTGACATTATCAGTGGTGAAGTAGCGACAATATCAGTGGTGTAGTAGCGTGATTGTCAGTAGTGTAGTGACGACATTATCAGTGACCTCGTAACTACATTATCAGTGGCGTAGTAGCGACGTTATCTGTGGCGGTGACGACATTATCAGTAGTGTAGTGACGACATTATCAGTGGTGTGACGACATCAGTAGTGTAGTAACTACATTATCAGTGGTGTAGTAGCGAGATTGTCAGTAGTGTAGTGACGACATTATCAGTGGTGTAGTAGCGAGATTGTCAGTAGTGTAGTGACGACATTATCAGTGGTGTAGTAGCGAGATTGTCAGTAGTGTAGTGACGACATTATCAGTGGTGTAGTAGCGAGATTGGCAGTAGTGTAGTGACGACATTATCAGTGGTGTAGTAGCGAGATTGTCAGTAGTGTAGTGACGACATTATCGGTGACCTCGTAACTACATTATCAGTGGCGTAGTAGCGACGTTATCCGTGGCGGTGACGACATTATCAGTAGTGTAGTGACGACATTATCAGTGGTGTAGTGACGACATCAGTAGTGTAGTAACTACATTATCAGTGGTGTAGTGACGACATTATCAGTGGCGTAGTAACTACATTATCAGTGGTGTAGTGACGACATCAGTGGTGTAGTGACGACATTATCAGTGGCATAGTGACGACATCAGTAGTGTAGTGACGACATTATCAGTGGCGTGGTGACGACATTATCAGTGTAGTGACGACATTATCAGTGGCGTGGTGACGACATTATCAGTAGTGTAGTGACGACATTATCAGTGGTGTGGTGACGACATTATCAGTGGTGTAGTGACGCCATGATCAGTGGTGTAGTGACGACATTATGAGTGGCATAGTGACGACATCAGTAGTGTAGTGACGACATTATCAGTGGCGTGGTGACATTATCAGTAGTGTAGTGACGACTTTATCAGTGGCGTGGTGACGACATTATCAGTAGTGTAGTGACGACATCAGTGGTGTGGTGACGACATTATCAGTGGTGTAGTGACGACATTATCAGTAGTGTAGTGACGACATCAGTGGTGTAGTGACGACTTCAGTAGTGTAGTGACATCAGTAGTGTAAGTGACGACATTATCAGTAGTGTAGTGACGACATTATCAGTGGTGTAGTGACGACATTATCAGTGGTGTAGTGACGGCATTATCAGTGGTGTAGTGACGACAGCAGTAGTGTAGTGACGACATCAGTGGTGTAGTGACATTGTCAGTGGTGTAGTGACGACATTATCAGTAGTGTAGTGACGACATTATCAGTGGTGTAGTGACGACATTATCAGTGGTGTAGTGACGACATTATCAGTAGTGTAGTGACGACATTATCAGGGGTGTAGTGACAACATTATCAGTGGTGTAGTGACGACATTATCAGTAGTGTGTGACGACATTGTCAGTGGTGTAGTGACGACATTATCAGTGGTGTAGTGACGACATCAGTGGTGTCGTGACGACATTAGCAGTAGTGTAGTGACGACATTATCAGTAGTGTAGTGACGACATTATCAGTGGTGTAGTGACGACATCATCAGTAGTATAGTGACGACATTATCAGTAGTGTAGTGACGACATTATCAGTAGTGTAGTGACGACATCAGTAGTGTAGTGACGACATTATCAGTGGTGTAGTGACGACATTATCAGTAGTGTAGTGACGACATTATCTGTGGTGTATTGACGATGTTATCAGTGGTGTAGTGACGACATTATCAGTGGTGTAGTGACGACATTATCAGTGGTGTAGTGACGACATCAGTAGTGTAGTGACGACATTATCAGTGGTGTAGTGACGACATTATCAGTAGTGTAGTGACGACATTATCAGTAGTGTAGTGACGACATTATCAGTGGAGTAGTGACGACATTATCAGTAGTGTAGTGACGACACTATCAGTGGTGTAGTGACGACATTATCAGTGGTGTAGTGACGACATTATCAGTGGTGTAGTGACGACATCAGTAGTGTAGTGACGACATTATCAGTGGTGTAGTGACGACATTATCAGGAGTGTAGTGACGACATTATCAGTAGTGTAGTGACGACATTATCAGTGGAGTAGTGACGACATTATCAGTAGTGTAGTGACGACATTATCAGTGGTGTAGTGACGACATTATCAGTGGTGTATTGACGATGTTATGAGCTTAAGGGGTGCCGCAATCAGAATATTTATTTAGACTGGAGAAATCCGAAGAGCTTTTAAGCTCTTTTTCACAGATGTCCTGTAGGGTCACGGGGAAAGAACGTTACGTCAACAAAAATACAAAAACACGTGATAGGAGTGCAAAGTGCAAGGTAAACGAATCACCCAAACATACAAATATTAACTAAACCATTCCCATCCTACCAGTCAGATCGGTAGCTCAACAAAGTGGGACCATCATTTGGACATTTAGGGAACGTCCATAAATGACGTCACGCACCTCGGGGGGGGGGGGGGTCAGACATTTGTGACGATGTGTGACGAGGGAGGGGCGGGATTGAGAAATGTGACGTCACATCACAATTCGCAACCTTAAATAAATATAGACAACACGTTCTACTTAATTAAATAGACTTTTTAATAATTGTTTTCTCCTACAACATCAGAGTGCAGCGCCACATTAAATACGCACTACAATGACAATAGTTTAAAGCGATGTGAAGCATGTTTTATTTGGGGGGGGGAGGTAGAGCTTTGTGACGTCATATTTAAGGGGGGGTCTGACTTTTTGTGACGTTGTGTGACGAGGGGGGGAGGGGGTCAAAAATCGTTCAAAATCGCGTGACGTCATTTATGGACGGCCCCTTACAGCACGGGGGCCCCAACTCGTAGCGGTGACCACCAGGGGAGGGGGTGGAGGGAGGCGGGGCAAGGCACCCCCCTGCCTGCCCCACGCTCGTGCCACGCTAGGGGCCATCCACTCAGTACGTACGCATGGAGGGGGGAGAGGGGAGGTAACCCAAATGCGTCGCTTGCGTATGGGGGGGGGGGTCTACTGACAATGTACACATGGCAAACGGGGGGGGGGGAGCGGGGGGGTGAAGCCTCGATAATAATTTGTCTACATTGGCCTGCAAATGAGTTAGATAGCCCGGCGGTGGACAATCTATTTGCTTAAACACGTTAATATTATTAAAATCCTTGATCGTGTCTGCGTGGATTAAATATCGGCCGTTCCAAAGGATTCGGGGGGGGGGGGGGTGGAGGGTGCGTCATGCGTACGTACGCAGTGGGGGGGGGGGTATAAAAGTCCGCGTGCCTAAAGGGAGGGGGTGATGTGTCCAGTTTTGACAGACTTGTGCGTACCGACTCCATAGATGACCCCCTCGTGGGTGAGGCAGGAGCGAGGTTGGTGGCCTACGCCACAGGCACGCGTCTCTACCCAGGGGAGGCCCAGGATCGGTTCAGATGATCGTCACCGGTGTTGGTGGCCGCGAGCGGGCATCGAACCCGTGCCGCTGGGTTCTTAGCGCAGCGTAGCTCCGACCGCTCCCCTCCTGCGTCCGTCTCGCGGAAGTTTCCACGAACGAGTGCCGAGCATTCGACCGGAGGGGTTCGAAAAAGGTCGATCTATTTACAAATCAGTTCAATTAACATTCCCATAAATTCGCACAACCTGCAGTCGATCGGCAGGTGCGGTGGGGTAAGGTGTGGGACCTCCCGCCTCTTCCGAGACGTGCTCGTCTGCGTGGAAGATTTGGCCAAAATTCCCTCTCGAGGGGGCTGCAGTAGAGGCGCTTCCTCTGCAGTGGCGTGCGCAGGAAATTGCAGGGCTGTAAAATGTACAAATATTCAAACTTCATGAATTTTGTTATATCTCCAATAAATGTTTTTAGGTGGCAGTGAATGATAAAAAAAACCCGTGTTTTTTTTGTGTTTCCTTTAAGTTCATTAATTTTTCCAACAGCTTCTAATTCAAATTATAATTTTTTTTTTAAGGCCAGTGACTGTTGGTGCAGGTGATGATGGACTGGGAGTGATGGGGAAGTGATGAGTGATGGGGTGGGGTGATTTGGAGGTCATGTAAGCAGCGATGTCGGGGGACGTGTAAGTGATGGGGGAAGCGATGGGAGAGGGGATGGGGGAGATAATGGAATGTACTGTATCATGGCAGGGTTTTTAGGAAATTGATGGAAGCAGTGATGGATATATGACGGGTGTTGTAATGCATGGGATGTTGTGTGGCGGTGATAATTATAGGAGGGCTGTAATGGATATATAACTGTGGAGTGATGTATGACATGATGGGCGAGGTAGCAGCATGGCCGTGATGGGAAGATGACGGCGATGTGATGCGAATGGTGGTGAAGGATCTTCCGATGCTTCAGTTCTCCCTAACTCTGAGCCACGATATTCAGCCTGTTCATCATGGTCACCATCATCACCAACTGCGTCTTCATGACGATGAGCGATCCGCCTGATTGGTCCAAGAACGTCGAGTAAGTCTTGCAGCAGTCAATCACCTGCCTTGCCCCGCGCACCCTCCAAAACGTTTGCCGGGTTCACACACGCACAATATCCTCCTATCATGTTTCTCTGGGTAGGATGCGTGTGCAGCTTGGCGCGCGTTGAAGATGCTTGCAATTTTTTTTTGCGTGAGTATAGGGTAAACAACCTGGTGGGTTTGTAATAGAGCAATAACGACAAAGCGTTGCGGATGTGACCGGAAGGACGAGGCGGTGATAGGTGGGACACGTGTGCAGGATGTGAGGGAGGACCGGTTGTCGAGACCGCTATTGGAGTGGCCTCCGTGAGTCCGGTGACCAGGGGACACAGAGGGCCTAAAGAGCAGAGGCAGGTGTTGGAGGTCACGTGTCGACTGTGTAAGCAGCTGCCCCGAGCGCAGTGGGAAATACAATTTGAAAATAAATGTGAACAAAAAAAATAATAAAGGAAAATTAAGGGCGTGTATATATTTAGTTTGGTCTTTAGTGGGATGAGATGCATTTTTATGATATAGTTTGTATTTTAAAAATAAGATTTTGAAAATCAATACAAATGTACACTGATCTCTATTTCAGGGCACAAGCAAAAATAAATTTTGTAAATCAATTCGTAATCCCATTAATAGTCCAGGATGGTCCAGTGCAATCACGTGTCCCGGGCGTAATAGCAAGGCGCTGGTACAGTACTGTACTGCAAAATAATTCATTTGGCCCACAAAAGTGAATAAATATGTGATTATCGTCTGAAGCAAGCACTCTCTCTAAGGCTACCGCTTCCAAAAGCATGTACATCCGCCCTAGAGAACAACGCAATGTGGACTCGCATAGAGTCTAACATGGGACGCTACACAGGCAGTGGGCACATTTATTTATTTCAGGTTTCTCTGTTTGAGACCATAGGCCTCTACGTAAGTCATAGCGTCTGTGTGCGGTTTATGGGGCCCTATTTGGGCATGGGTCTCTGTGTGAGTGTAATGGGTCTATTCGAGTTTGTGTGTCCGTACGTATGTAGAACTTCTTTCGCACCGCACGTTGTCAACCTCGATGCGAGTCTACGTGTCTCTATGCGTGTATATGGGGTCTCTATGTAATATCGACCTCTCTGGCTTCTTTGTGTGCTGATGGTGCCTGAGCCGTTACCTAAATACGTGTTTCTCTCTAAGGCAGTGGGGTGATGTGTGATGATCGAGCGTGTCGAGTTGCTTTTGTATCGACATCAGTACAGCATTTGGGCCTCTCTGCGAGTCCGTGAATCTCCACGTTTGCTCCGCGGGCTCCTGCGTTTTACCAACGCTCGGTTTCACGAAATGTCGCGTTTACCCCCATTGGCAAGGTGACGCGCACTTTTTCGACCAAAGACATCGAATTTCCCGCGTGGGCGATATTTCACTCCGGCTGCGCGCCACGATATCATCGGGCGTGAAGCCACCCGGGAGGCTGCCTCGTCGTCGTCGTCATCCACCCGCGGACTGGACATCTGTGAGAAAGAGCTTCATAGCTCATCAGATTCCTCCTGCGGTCTAAATAAAGATGCCGATTCCGATCCGCGACAGCGTCGCGGTGTCCCTGCCGTGGCAGCAGTGACGCCTCCACGTGCAGCAGCTCCTTTTGGCGAGTTCCCCTGAAAAAGATGAATAACTTTTGTTTTAAATCAATTGGTATTAGTCAATCGTTTTAATGATTTGTTCGTTATTATTTTTTTTGTATTGTGAAAAGTTATATAGGTGGTTATTTTTAGGTTAAGGAGTAGAGTTGGAATGACATCCCCTGATTTTTTAGTATTAATGAATGAACTTTTTTTTTTAAGAACGTAAACCGAGGGATAAGCCGCACAGCGTGGATGTATGGTATATGGTGGCGCCTATAATGGAACCGCTTCTCACGGCGAGAGGCAGAGGAGTCGTTCATAGGCAGGGGAGATAGGATCGTGGTTGATCCTGGACTGCGTACAAGAATGAGGTGCACCATTTATAACCGGGCGCGGTGCAGGCCACCCACCCCCTCGTGTGCCTTGCCGGCCTTCACAGGTGCTACTCGCTAACAGCACTTGCCCCAACAGCCTGTTAAGGCTACGCGGGGGGAGGGGGGGGGTATCTTTGCCTTTGTGTTGGGAGTGTTGACGCTGTGCTCCGTACCCCGAGTTCGATTCCCCAGCCCTCTCCGAGGCTGCCTCCACCCGAAATGTATGCGTGCGTACCTGGTGCAATGTGCGAACCCCCTCGAGACTGGGCAGACAAAAGGTGGTCAGGGATGGTGTTGGCCACGCGGCCTCACCTTCAATAGGTGCTCGCTAGCAGCGTTTGTCCCGCAGCAGTCCGCGCGGTGATGTGTCGGAGCTTTACGGTGGGGCATAGGTTAGAGCGTGAACATCAGCCATGGGGGAGACAAAGACGGCTTTGCGTGGTGCTCGCCAATACAAATACCACGCGCCACTCGCCACTAAGTGACGGTGACGTCTCCACGGCTCCTGTGCCAGGGGAGGTGCACTTTGAGGCCACGTGAAGTGCCGAAGGCTCGCTGCCTGACAGGTCTCGGGACAGACCCAGCAGGTGCCATGGGTTGGCTGACTGAGATGACCTGTAGATGCACACCAGCTGAACCCCCCCCCCCCACTGTGCCAGGCTAGGTGCAGGAGGTATCGGGACAGACCCAGGTGCCATGGGTTGGATGACCGGTAGATGCACACCAGCTGTACCCCCCCACTGTGCCAGGCTAGGTGCAGGAGGTATCGGGACAGACCCAGGTGCCATGGGTTGGATGACCGGTAGATGCACACCAGCTGTACCCCCCACTGTGCCAGGCTAGGTGCAGGAGGTATCGGGACAGACCCAGGTGCCATGGGTTGGATGACCGGTAGATGCACACCAGCTGTACCCCCCACTGTGCCAACTTTCTGCGTTTTAACTGCCCGGCGCTCCGCTCGTTGTTGGTGCTTGCCACAACCTCATCCACAATGCTGACCTTGTATAAAACAATTTTCGACAAGCTGTTTGTCAATCCACTGCTGGATGAAAGCTTCCTGGTGCCATGTTGTCCGAGAGGTAGGGGGGTTTACCATACTTCACCACGTTGGTCAATGCAGGTTCGTGAAGGATAGGAGGTCCGGTTCAGATGACACTCGCCACTCGGTGTCAGCTGTCGCGGAGAATCAAACGCAGGCTTTGGAATAGATAACACGAGATACATAACTAGACACTAAGCCTGCTGCCCACCATCTGCCCCCCCCCCCCCCCCACTTAAAAAAAAAAACAAGTTTATTTTTAACACATCCCATCAGCCTGCCGGCCAGACCAGACCAGACCCACGCCTTCTCGCCTTCTTCTGAAGTACATAATTTCAGCAGCATCTGTCTCAACGCAAGAAAAGGAAACTCTGGACCGCTTTTCGATATATTCCAACATTCGGCGGGAGTCTCGTCAACAGAGAGAGTCACCGCTTGCTCGTCGGTCGCTCGCTCCTCCTGGGGGTTTGCTCGCTGACGGCACTTGCCCCGACAAGTATGCCGAGTCTTTTGTAATGGGCGCGGGGTAGGGGGGTATTCTTTGCCTTTGTTTGACTGTGCGCGTGCGTGCGCGTGCGCTCGCGCGTGCGCGTGCGCGCACACACCTGCTGCCCCCACTGCTCGCCTTTGCGCTCGTCCACAACAAAGCTCATGTATAATACACACTTACAGCGACGCGTCAGCGTGAGCGCGTCTTCCCACATGCGCAGCTCATTATCTAATGCAATGAGCTCGATGCGCGGCAAGCGGCGGCGCGGCGGTTTGGCGCGCCGCGCCGGCCACCCGAGTTCGATTCCCGCTGCTCACACGGCCACCAACACCCGTGACGACTCATCTGAGATCTGAGCGGGTCCTGGGCCTCCCTGAGACGCGGCTCAGCGTCAAATGAGTGCTGTGCTTTGGTGTTGTGTTGTTCAGCATCGTCCACCGGGGGAGACAAAGGCGGCCAGGCGCGGTGCTGGCCACCTTCCCCCCCCCCTCCCCCTTCGTTTGTTGTGCCGGTCTTTCGTAGGTGCTCGCTAACAGCACTTGCTCCCAAAGTCTAAGGCTACACGGGGAGTCTTTGTCTTTGCATTTGCCAGTCATCTCAGTCAACGCGTAACATCTGAGTCTGTCCCGTGACCCACACTTCACGTGATTGCCTCGAAATGCACCTAGCCTGGCACAAGCACCGTGGTGACGTCGCTACCACTCAGTGGCGATTGGCACCTGTCCTGTTTTTGTTTGAGCGCGGAGTGGTGGCGCAGTGGTTAACAACACTCCGCTACGATCCCGGCTACCTGGGTTCATTGAGGCCAAACCTGGATGCGCTGGGTGGGACACGTGTGCAGGATGGAGGGAGGAAGGGCCCGGTTACTGAGGCCGGCTTTGGAGTGGTCTCTCCACGAGCCTGGCGACCACGGGGCAAGAGAAGGCCTAAGACCAGATGGTGGTGGGATACTGTGAGGGCAGGCTCTATGGGTCTCTGTGTTGGTTTATGGGTCTATGGGAGTATGTGGGTCTCTGTGTTAGTCTATGGCTCTGTGTGAGTCTACGGGGCTCTGTGCGAGTTTGTGGGTCTCTGTGCGAGTCTGTGAGTCTCTGTGTTATACTATGGGTCTATATGAGTCTGTGGGTCTCTGTGTGAGTCTACGGGGCTCTGTGCGAGTCTGTGGGTCTCTGCGCGGGTCTGTGGGACTCTGTCAGTCTTAAAAGCCAGATAATAGGGAGACTGCTAGGCCACATCTCGGAGGTCGCGTGGTCTGACAGGGCGTAGAAAGCCCTGGTGGAGGTGTGTTTACATCACCGGCTTTTGGCCACGAGGAACACCGTGCGATCTTCACGTAGCCAGGCCGTGGTAGTGGTGGTGGTGGCTCTATGCATGTGGCTGCCTGGAATCCAGCACCGTGGAGACGGCTCGGGTCGGCGGATCAGGCTGGTTCGGCAGGCGAAGACGGTTACTACGGACGAGTTACGCGCGACAGTAATCTCCATCTCTTTCCATCTTGTGCGTGCGTGCATCCTCTCCCACCTACTTTCTCTCTCTCACGCGGCGGGTTTTCTCCGAGAGCTCCGGTTTGCTCCTCCCCCCCCGCCCAAACGCACAAAGACAAAGATCCCCCGTATAGCCTTAACATAATGTACGGGCAAGTCCTGTTAGCGAGCACCTATGAAGGCCAGAACGGTACACGAGGTGGTGGGTGGCCAGCACCACGCCCGGCCGCCTTTGTAACCGTGCCGCCGTAACCTCCGCCCAGGTACACCTTCACGGGGATCTACACGTTCGAGTCGCTCATCAAGATCGTCGCGAGAGGATTCGTCATCGACAACTTCACCTTCCTCCGGGACCCCTGGAATTGGCTGGACTTCAGCGTCATCACTATGGCGTGCGTTGTGGTGGGGGGGGTAGAGGGAGGTTCTGTATATGTGGAGTTTGCGGTGTCTCTCTCTCTCTCTGTCTCTCCCCGTGGTCGCGTGGTCTTTTGTCCAGAGTGCTCCGATATTTCCTTCCCCCCGCCACCCATCACCACATTTAGAATCAACGTCACGGCGTTTCACAGTAATTTGGCTACTGCTATAAATTTCCACGCGATGATGATGGTGACAAGCCCACTTTGTTGAGACCTATTATTTTTGTGATAGCCAGGTCGCTTCTGATTTAAAAAAAGAGATGTGTTGAGATAGCTCATTGGGGCCCTTACACACCTGGTAAAATAAGGATAGAATAGTTAAATTAGAGATCTGTGCAGTCCACCATGGGGGGAGTGGTGTTAGGGGGGGTGGAGTGGTGGTTTGGGGGGGGGGCGAGGCTGTGGGTGGGGGGTTCAGAGGGGTGGGTGGTGGGGCTAGAAATCCACGGCTCCTGTGACGTGGGTGATAAAAAAGATCGTCATCGTCAGCCCTGATAAAATCCACTGCTGGATGAAGGCCCTCCCCAAGCCACAAGTGGGACGTTCCTTTCCCGGGCGCGTTAGCGAATGTTTAGGAGGAGAAATCTGCGAGACGATCCGTTCGCGCGGGATCGAAATCTGTGGATTCCGTCGTGGAAGTCTGTGGCTTCCATTGTGAGCTCGCTGAACATCTGCAACTCTTTAATTTTGCAGGCAGCGTTCAATATTCGTAAAGCGTATTCATTAATAGTAAGTAGCCTTGTCGATTTGATGGAATTGTATCAAATGTCAGGAGTGCTGGTGGTTTGTGTGGAGTTGTTGTAGTGAGGAGTGCTGTTGTGTGGAGTTGCTGTAGTGAGGAGTGCTGTTGTGTGGAGTTGCTGTAGTGAGGAGTGATGGTGGTTGTGTGGAGTTGCTGTAGTGAGGAGTGATGGTGGTTGTGTGGAGCTGCTGTAGTGAGGAGTGCTGTTGTGTGGAGTTGCTGTAGTGAGGAGTGATGGTGGTTGTGTGGAGTTGCTGTAATGAGGAGTGCTGTTGTGTGGAGTTGCTGTAGTGAGGAGTGATGGTGGTTGTGTGGAGTTGCTGTAGTGAGGAGTGATGGTGGTTGTGTGGAGCTGCTGTAGTGAGGAGTGCTGTTGTGTGGAGTTGCTGTAGTGAGGAGTGATGGTGGTTGTGTGGAGCTGCTGTAGTGAGGAGTGCTGTTGTGTGGAGTTGCTGTAGTGAGGAGTGATGGTGGTTGTGTGGAGTTGCTGTAGTGAGGAGTGATGGTGGTTGTGTGGAGTTGCTGTAGTGAGGAGTGATGGTGGTTGTGTGGAGTTGTTGTAGTGAGGAGTGCTGTTGTGTGGAGTTGCTGTAGTAAGGAGTGATGGTGGTTGTGTGGAGTTGCTGTAGTGAGGAGTGCTGTTGTGTGGAGTTGCTGTAGTGAGGAGTGATGGTGGTTATGTGGAGTTGCTGTAGTGAGGAGTGCTGGTGGTTGTGTGGAGTTGCTGTAGTGAGGAGTGATGGTGGTTATGTGGAGTTGCTGTAGTGAGGAGTGATGGTGGTTGTGTGGAGTTGCTGTAGTGAGGAGTGATGGTGGTTGTGTGGAGTTGCTGTAGTGAGGAGTGCTGTTGTGTGGAGTTGCTGTAGTGAGGAGTGATGGTGGTTGTGTGGAGTTGCTGTAGTGAGGAGTGATGGTGGTTGTGTGGAGTTGTTGTAGTGAGGAGTGCTGTTGTGTGGAGTTGCTGTAGTGAGGAGTGATGGTGGTTGTGTGGAGTTGTTGTAGTGAGGAGTGCTGGTGGTTGTGTGGAGTTGTTGTAGTGAGGAGTGATGGTGGTTGTGTGGAGTTGCTGTAGTGAGGAGTGCTGGTGGTTGTGTGGAGTTGCTGTAGTGAGGAGTGATGGTGGCTGTGTGGAGTTGCTGTAGTGAGGAGTGCTGTTGTGTGGAGTTGCTGTAGTGAGGAGTCGTAGTGAGTCGTAGTGAGGAGTGGTTTCAGTAGTTCACACGTGTGACTGTGCCCAGGTACGTGACGGAGTTCGTGGACCTGGGGAACGTCTCGGCTCTGAGAACCTTTCGGGTTCTGCGAGCTCTCAAGACCATCTCCGTTATCCCGGGTGACGTTCACACACACAAAGACAAAGGTCCTCCCATATAGCCTGCACAGGGCAAATGCCGTTAGCGAGCACCTATTAAGGCCAACGCCGGCACACGACGCGTTGGTGTGGCTGGAGCCAGGCCGGCCTTCGTCTGATTGTGACTCCCCGTGTCGGCGAGTCGGTTACGGATGAGTGGTCCTTGGGCAGGCCGGGGATCGGTTCAGATTTTCGCCACCGATGTTAGCCGTGAGCGGGAATTCGAACTCGGATCGCCGATGTTCGTATCACAGCACCGCTGAGCCACCGCTGAGCCACCGCCGAGCCAGCGCTGAGCCACCGCTGCACCACCGCTGCACCACCGCTGCACTACCGCTGCACCACGGCTGAGCCACCGCTGAGCCACTGCTGAGCCACCGCCGAGCCACCGCTGCACCACCGCTGCACCACCGCTGCACCACCACTGCACCACCGCTGCACTACCGCTGCACCACCGCTAAGCCAACGCTGAGCCACCGCTGAGCCACCGCTGAGCCACCGCTGCACCACCGCTGAGCCACCGCTGCACCACCGCTGAGCCACCGCTTCCTCCTTCCCCTACAAAACGAAAGAGGCTCACAAATTATTCCAAAGAGGAACTAATTTCTCTGAACATTGGTTTTCTTCGATGACACGGGGGAATACGTATTAATATACTCGGAAAGGTGGCGGGAAGGGGTGGGGGTTGCTAAGGGGGGGGGGAGGGGGGTTGGCATCTGTAGACGTGCGTCATCCAGCAGTGGATTAACAACAATAATTCCGTGCACGCACACAAGCTTGAGTCGACATGGGGGGGGGGGGGGGGGGGGGGAAAGTCGCGAGTTCGACTCCTCTCTCGCTCCAGCGCGTGTGACAGCAACGCCCTGCACGCGGCCGCATTTGCGATGCCTAGCCTGCCTTGCAGGGAGTACACGCACCTCCGATTAGCGCGGTTGGCTGCGTGCGGCGCGAAAGAAGTTCAACGTTCGTGCGTCGCTGGCTCTGCGTGCAGGCCTCAAGACCATAGTGGGGGCGCTCATCCAGTCGGTGAAGAAGCTGTCGGACGTGGTGATCCTCACCGTCTTCTGCCTCAGCGTGTTCGCCCTCATCGGCCTGCAGCTCTTCATGGGCAACCTGCGGCACAAGTGCATCCTCTGGCCGCGGCCAAACGCCTCGTTCGCGTACAACACGACGGAGGAGCCCTTCGACTGGCAGAGCTACATCGACGATACGAGTGCGTGGCGGGGGCGCTCGTTGCACCGCGCGAGGCGCTCACCGCGATTGAACCCGCGATGCCTTGTGCCGATGTCGTCAGGGAGCGTGCACCATCGTGCGAACCCCGGTCACCCTCGCGCCAGCGGCGGCGGCGGCGGCGGCAAACAAAGACGGCGGGCCACCGCATCGAGCGCTTTTCAGACGCGCTTCTGCGGCCGTCCGGAATGCTCTTCCTTCCGATATCAGGAAGTCACTGGAGCTGTGCACTTTTAAATCTACACTGAAAACTAATTTCTTCAGAGCTGCTTTTCGTGTTCAGTTTGTCGTCCTTCCCCCCCCACCCCCCCCCCCCGCGCACCTCTGGTTAGCGCGGTTGGCCACGTACAGCGGTGCAAAAGATGTTCAGCGTACGTAGGTGCACACCATCCGTATCGGGCGTAGTCGCGTTTTGGTGGCAGCAGGGGATGATCCTTGCGAGCTTCATTATCAGGCCTTTTAATCCAGACCATGTTGTGGGCTGATGACGAGTCTACGTAGGCTGTGCTTGTCTGGGATTTCATTTTTAAAAAAATCTGGCCTCTAATAAGTTGTGCGTCGCAATGGCCAATACTTGTTCGTAGCAACAGCGTTCAGGTTAGGAACCCACGTGATCTTTGGGGATCACCGAGTCGATGAGAGGGCTGATTCCCTGGAGGATGACGCGTCCCAGGAGTTTGTCGGTCATGTACAGGCGTTATATTCCTTTCTTGCCTTTGGCAGCGTGTTCAGCAGCTGGATGGCAATGTCGAGGTTTGCTGCTGCTGCTGGCCACGACGAGAGGGCCTTCGGCAGAGCGAGAGAGTTCGTGTCGCGTCGCTGTTCCTCCTCCATTGAAGGAGCGCAGAGAGCAGCGGTTTACCGCAGTTTCTGGGATGCATGGCCACGGTCGCGAAACAAACCGGGAGGAAGAGTGAGAACGGCCACGCTGAGTGGGCGTCCAACGAGCAGAGATGCGCGGGAGGAAAATTGTCTCACAGACCTGTCTACAGACAGAACCCTGAATGACGACAACGGCGATTATTATTTAATGAGTTGTCGCTGTTGTGCGCGTGTGTGTGTGTGTGTCTCCAGAAAACCATTACGTCTGGGAAATCAAGGGGAACGACGCGCTTCTCTGCGGCAATGGCTCGGACGCCGGGTGAGCGGAATTTGCGCATCGAGACGCGAGGTCCCGATGGCGTTTTACGTATCTTTTTTTGCGAGCGGCAGAATTATTCTGCGGCCTAACCGCGCGGTCACGAACACAGGGTCCGCCGGCGCCTGTTGTAAAGTTGGAGACCACGTGTTCTCTCCCTCTCTCCCCGTGGTCGTCGGGTGGATTGTTCTCCGGGTTCCTCCGGCTTTGCCCCCCTCCTCCACACGTGGAAATCGACTCGCGTTTAGACGGTTTGGCTGCTGCTATGAATTCCCAGCCACTTTGACGGTGAGCTGTAATCACGTGCGGCCACGTCGCCTCTGAAACATATCTAATATCTCAGTGGGCTGCACCTGCGAAATAAAATTAAATGGTAAGCAAGTAGGAGTAGAGCACATTGTGAGATTTTGAGGAGGCACGCGTGCGAGCAGAGTCAGTGTGTGTGAGGGAGCCAGTGCGTGTGTGGTTGAGCGAGCGGGTGTGTGTGCGTGTGGGTGAGCGACCGGGTGTGTGGTTGAGCGAGCGGGTGTGTGTGCGTGTGGATGAGCGAGCAGGTGTGTGGTTGAGCGAGCGGGTGTGTGTGTGGGTGAGCGAGGGGGTGTGTGGTTGAGCGAGCGGGTGTGTGTGCGTGTGGGTGAGCGAGCGAGTGTGTGGTTGAGCGAGCGGGTGCGTGTGGGTGAGCGAGCGGGTGTGTGGTTGAGCGAGCGGGTGTGTGTGCGTGTGGGTGAGCGAGCGAGTGTGTGGTTGAGCGAGCGGGTGCGTGTGGGTGAGCGAGCGAGTGTGTGGTTGAGCGAGCGGGTGTGTGTGCGTGTGGGTGAGCGAGTGTGTGGTTGAGCGAGCGGGTGCGTGTGGGTGAGCGAGCGAGTGTGTGGTTGAGCGAGCGGGTGTGTGTGCGTGTGGGTGAGCGAGCGGGTGTGTGGTTGAGCGAGCGGGTGCGTGTGGGTGAGCGAGCGAGTGTGTGGTTGAGCGAGCGGGTGTCTGTGCGTGTGGGTGAGCGAGCGAGTGTGTGGTTGAGCGAGCGGGTGTGTGTGCGTGTGGGTGAGCAAGTGTGCGTGGGTAAAGGGCGAGCGAGCGAGTGTGCGCGCGCGCGCGCTTGCCAGGTTTAGAAAGCGTGCGAGCGAGGGGAGTGTTCGAGTCTACAGGGGTGAGTGAGCGAGCGAGCGAGTGTGCCTGCGAGCGTGCCGTGATGCAGCCCCGTGCGTTGTCCTCACGCAGCCAATGCCCCGAGGGCTTCACGTGCATCAAGGCCGGGCGCAACCCCAATTACGGCTACACGAGCTTCGACTCCTTCAGCTGGGCGTTCCTGGCACTCTTCCGCCTCATGACGCAGGACTTCTGGGAGAACCTCTTCATGCAGGTGGGAAGCTCGTCACGGAATCGGAGGGTTTCTGCCGCGAACAGGGCCACCCGCTTCGCACGCCTCGGCAAACTCGGAAGTCAAAAGTCAAAAGTGATCCCCATGCTCCAACCACTGCTGGGAGTTCCACATTTTTTTTTTATTATGATTTGATTTTTAGATTATTGTCCTTCCGCCACACCTACGATCAGCGTGGTTGGCTACATTATGGCGCGAGAGAAGTTCAGACAGACTACATCGGGGAGTCTAATCCATAGGACAAGCATTGCTGACTTCCACACACAAGTGGCACTCATATTATTGACCACGGAGGGATTGATGGGCTGAGTCACCCCCAACCAGGAATTGAACTCCCCCAAGTGCCTTACACCACAGATCTTATCTCAACCTTGCCAATGCCCTGCCGAAGGCTAGGCAAGGACACCCCCTCCTCCCTCCCCCTCCCCCCAGTGGCAGCTGTCCCTGTGTGGCACAGGATGTAAACGGAACCGGCACCCAAGTGGGAATTCTCTTATCTTCTTGGGTATGATGGCAACAGAAGCGAGATGTTCAGGGGCTCAATGTCGCGGTCTACTGCTGCTGCTCGCCATGACGAGAGGGCTTCAGGAGAGAGAGATCGTGGTGCTGTTCCTCCTCCTTTGAAGGGGCTCGCTACCACAGTGGGTTGCTCTGTGTGCGTGGCCACCACGATATTGCGTATAAATGAAATCGGCATATATATGAACATATATGTCCTATATATTTATTTATTTCCATCGAAAACTGTAAAATTATATATTTATATATTTTGGCCAAGGGAGGGAACAAGCCAATCTGCTGAGTGATTACAAATGTCGTGTCTTAGTAGTTAGTGTAACACCGACCGTATAAGTTGACATCATAATCAATGGCTAGATGAGAGCAACAGACGACATTGTTGACGGTGTACTCAATAAGAGGAGAGCGAGGTTATTGTCGTCAGAGCTTGTGAGAACCAGGTGGGTGGGAGAGACCTCCAAAGTGGAGCAGTGTGGGGGAGGAAGCAGTGTGGTGAGTGACTGAGTGAGTGGATGAGTGACTGAGTGTGTGTGTGTGAGTGGGTGAGTGACTTAGTGAGTGTGTGAGTGTGTGTGTGAGTGGGTGAGTGAGTGTGGTGAGTGAGTGGGTGAGTGACTTAGTGAGTGTGTGAGTGTGTGTGAGTGCCTGAGTGTGTGAGTGACTGAGTGTGTGAGTGAGTGAGTGCGGTGAGTGACTGAGTGTGTGTGTGAGTGGCTGAGTGTGTGTGTGAGTGACTGAGTGAGTGGGTGAGTGACTGAGTGAGTGGGTGAGTGACTGAGTGCGTGTGTGAGTGGGTGAGTGAGTGGGTGAGTGGCTGAATGTGTGTGTGAGTGTGTGAGTGGGTGACTGACTGAATAAGTGTGTGAGTGGCTGAGTGAGTGTGTGAGTGACTGAGTGAGTGTGTGTGTGAGTGGGTTAGTGAGTGGGTGAGTGACTGAGTGAGTGGGTGAGTGACTAAGTGAGTGAGTGTGTGAGTGAGTGGGTGAGTGACTGAGTGTGTGAGTGGGTGAGTGAGTGGGTGAGTGACTGAGTGTGTGTGTGAGTGGGTGAGTGACTGAGTGTGTGTGTGAGTGGGTGAGTGAGTGGGTGAGTGAGTGGGTGAGTGGCTGAGTGGGTGAGTGACTGAGTGTGTGTGAGTGGCTGAGTGGGTGAGTGACTGAGTGTGTGTGTGAGTGGCTGAGTGAGTGGGTGAGTGACTGAGTGTGTGTGTGTGAGTGGGTGAGCGACTGAGTGTGTGTGAGTGGCTGAGTGGGTGAGTGACTGAGTGTGTGTGTGTGTGAATGGCTGAGTGAGTGGGTGAGTGACTGAGTGTGTGTGTGAGTGGCTGAGTGAGTTGGTGACTGACTGAGTGTGTGTGTGAGTGGCTGAGTTGAGTGGGTGAGTGACTGAGTGTGTGTGTGAGTGTGTGTGTGAGTGGCTGAATGAGTGGGTGAGTGACTGAGTGTGTGTGTGAGTGTGTGTGTGAGTGACTGAGTTGTTATAACCCGCAGTGAGATGAGTAAATGTTCAGTTTCATTTATTTTATTTATTTCATTTATTTATTTGGTATCGCCCTGTGAGCCATTCGGCTCTTGAATCGGGTGCAACCGCAACAAACCAAAAACAAAAACATGAAAAAGAAAACATCTTAAAGTGACTATGCGCAAACAGAAAAATCTTCCAGAAATAGCACCGTACACCAACGCTGTGTGCAAAAATCCCAGTGGGATGCAAGTCAAACAACAACAACAACCACAAGTCAACTTAGATTAAAGCCATCAGTCTAACTCCGTACTACAACAAACAAATATGGCCAAACCAAAACACGTTTTCGAAATCACCAAAATAAAGTCATAAAAGCAATGTAACAGTGATCACAGGAACTGTGACCGAAATTTCACAATAAACGACATAAACAACATGTACCACCAAGCCCTGTAGCCATAGCTGGCTGCATGAGTCACTCCACAACAGCAGGTGTATCAGTCGAAGTATCAACATTTTTCAATGCACCTTTAAAGATCAGCACGCTAAATCAAAACACAAGATCATACTTTGCAGCGGTCATCCGGAGCGAAACATTTCATTTTAGGCCACTGAATAGCAGTGGCAGCTCGGGGTGTACAACTCCTCTAGAGCAGTTTTGAGTGAAGATCTGAGTGAGTGAGTGAGTCAGTTGCGGTGTTGGTGGTGATGGTGGTTGAGACGAAACAGTCAGACTCTGGTACAGACCCGAGTCCTCAACATGGGTGGAGGAGGAATCGACGGGCAAAGTTCACGGGGATCAGCGACCACGGTCGTTAGTAGATAATGACAAGGAGGCGACCGACCGCCGGTGATCGGGCGGGGTGGGCGCGACCGGTACCGTTGGCAACTATGCCACCCTCTTGGCATCGGGGGGCGCGAGATCGAGTAACGGCGACAGACAAAAAAACGGAGGAGCGTCACCGACGCAGGAACTCCGCGGTTACGACCGGATGTGTGGGAGATGCGAGGAGCTGGGGCGTGCGACAGGAGTGAGTTTTTTTTCTCCTCCTCCCTCCTCCTCCTCCTCATCTGCTATCGTAGTCGTTCCGGGAATTCCTGTACATTTATAGGGCCTCCTTGTGCCAACCGCTGATACACGGAGACCGTCCACTTTTATCTCCGTGGTCACTGGCACCTCAGGAGAAGATCAAGTAAACAGGACAACAGCGGTTAACGATCCTGACGTTCGGTAATGGCGGCTATTTTTAATTCGCAAACCCTAATCTTAGGATATTAATATACGGGTCTTAATTTTCTTTACGCTTTCGAACTAAGCTCCGTCTGTCTGCGACGTGTGGGTGGAGGTAAGGGGGAGTGGGTGGGTTGGGGTTTAGGGGCACGGTAAGAAGACGATCCCGTGTACGGCGAAACTTTTGTATCGAGTTGTCTTCGCCACGAGGGGACTTTCCCCCTCAGAGAACGGGCCCAGATCGATGGAAGGAACTCTGCGGGTTCGTCAATTACGCCGCGCGGACTTATGAAGAGGTTGGGCGACGTTCCGAGCATCGGTCCTTCTGCGCAGTGCATGGGGCTAGAGGCCGTGGAGGTACAGCGATGAACGGGTTGCCCAAAATTTAGGGGCGACAAATCAGTGCTAAAATGCGAACTGGAAGCGGGTGCCTCCTGTATCCCCCCAAACCCGCCGCTCGCCACACGCTGGCACATCACGTCACCTCGTCATCACATCACCTCGTCGCGTCACCTCGTTGCGTCACCTCGTCGTCACGTCATCACCTCGTCGCGTCACCTCGTCGCGTCACCTCGCCACGTCACCTCGTCGTCACGTCGTCACCTCGTTGCCTCACCTCGTCGCGTCACCTCGTCGCGTCACCTCGTCGTCACGTCACCTCGTCGTCACGTCATCACCTCGTCGTCACCTCGTTGCGTCACCTGGTCGCGTCACCTCGTCGCGTCACCTCGCCGCGTCACCTCGTCGCGTCACCTGGTCGGGTCACCTCGTCGCGTCACCTCGTCGTCACGTCATCACCTCGTCGTCACCTCGTTGCGTCACCTGGTCGCGTCACCTCGTCGCGTCACCTCGCCGCGTCACCTCGTCGCGTCACCTGGTCGGGTCACCTCGTCGCGTCACCTCGTCGCGTCACCTCGTTGCATCACTTCGTCGCGTCACCCGGGCCTTGTCACCTCGTCGCGTGACCTCGTCGTGCGGCTCCAAGTGATGGTTAGCGTCGATAGTTGGGATGTTTCCGGGGAGAACGGTGCAACGGCAGCAGTTGCAGATAATCCGTGCGCGACTGGTTTCACTTCCCTGTTTCAAATGTTTTTTTTTAAATTTAGTTCTTCATCTTAATAGTATTTATACAGTTGTTTGTCTCTTAACTGCGATTCTTTAAAAGTTTATTGTTAGTTTTAATGTATTGGCCAATCCTGGCCCAGCTGACTCAAAAACGTAATAAATTTAACATAGAGACTCACAGAAACTCACAGAGATACATAGACTCAAAGGGATACCTGGAGACTTAAAGAGATACTAAACTAACGTTTTATTTTACCAGGTAAGGCCCGCTGAGCTGTATAGCTCTTTTTCAGAAGCGACCTGGCCATCACAAATGATCGCTCAACAAAGAAGGTTATCGTGTGGACATTTACAGCAGCCAAATACTGTAAACACGTGATGCTGATTCTAAATGTGGAAGGAAAAACTGGAATACCTGGAGAAAAATCCACGTGACCACGCAGAGAACACGCAAAAGGCGTTCAGGGTCGGGATCGCACGCACGACCTCCTGTATACCAGTCCAGGTAGTTAACATCTCGCCACCTCGGCGCCCATACATAGAGAATAATAGAGACCCGTAGGAACTCGGTGAAAAGTGGCCAGGTCGCTCAACAACGTAATAAGCCAACTGACACGAATGTGCATTGCTTTGTGCTTGCAGACGCTGAGGGCCGCCGGAAAGACCTACATGATCTTCTTCGTGGTGGTCATCTTCATTGGATCCTTCTACCTCATCAACCTCATCCTGGCCGTGGTGGCCATGGCGTACGACGAGCAGAACCAGGCCACGCTGGCCGAGGCCGAGGAGAAGGAGCGGGAGTTCCAGCAGATGCTGGAGAACCTCCACAAGCACCAGGATGACATGGAGCAGCAGGTGAGGGGCAACCGCAGAGCGGTGGACGTGCGTACGGGCCTCGGATGGGAGGCCTCCACAATCGCCGCCAGGAGGACCTCAGACTTACCGGGAACTTTGAGGATTAAAAAACTCAGCAGTTACCACCAGCTGTGGTGACCTTAAGGTTGAGGCCTCAGGAATGGTCAGGAGGTGCGGCGATCTCAAAGGTGAAGTCCTCTTGGTGATCACAAAGAGGTTTGAGGACCCAGATGGTAAAATCTCCGCTGTCACGACCGGACGCTGGGACCTCTAAAGCGAGTCCTCAGTTGTTGACCAGGAGATTTTAGTACCTCGGGCGAGGAGCTCAACAATAACAATCGGGTATGATGGTCTCAGGCGAGACCTCCGTAGGCTGAAAATATCCTTAGGTGACACTTTATCAACCACTACCAAGATGTAACAACCTCAACGTAAGACTGTCAACAATTACCAAGAGGTAAAAGCATCTCAAGATGAGACCCCAGCAATCGCCAGCTGTGAAAACCCCCATGTTGTATGTGCGCATGTTGAACTTATTTCGTATCGTACGTAGCCAATCATGCTAATCGGAGGTGCACCTCAATAATTACCAAGAGGTCAGAGATCTGGAGGTGACACCTTAACATTGACCACGAGGTTTGGGTACTTCAAGTAAAAGGGCTCAGCCATCACCACGAATCAGGCTACAATAATCGGAAGGGCGAGAGAACCACTGGTCAGGTCCCGGGTTCAGTCGCATAAAAAAAAATTACACCATACCCCGAACTCCAATTTTAAATAAATGCAGCCTTTCTCTCAAGGCGCTCTTTGTGTCTGGCCGCTGCAGTGGCGGGCCGGACGCACGACGGGCCGGCCGCGAGCGCGTCCGTGCATGTTGTGCATTGAGCAAACACGCGTGTGAACTCCCGCACACAATGGGAGCCTTCCTCACAATTGCACCTGTCACCTGCCTGCCCTGAAGGAGACTTGGTCACGAAGCCACCGCAGCCTGCAAACACCTTACGACCACCGCCACAATTGCCGCTGCCGTGACAACCACCAACTCCACCATCACCACCACTAACCCCCACCATTGTTGCCACCACTACTACCACGTGACCCGCGGTCTGTGAATCGGCGGTGCAGGGGGGCAGTGTGGGATCACGTGACCCGCGGTCAGTGAATCGGCGGTGCAGGGGGCAGCGTGGGATCACGTGACCCGTGGTCTGGGGGGAGTTGGGGTTGCGTGTGGGCCTGGGGAGCGAGGGGCCTGGAGGGGTGGTGGGGAGGGGGGTAAGGGACACGCACTACTCCGGCGCCACCGCCACGGTGAATGACGGGCAGAATAATTGCGGCGCTCGCGAGAAAGGCGGCGGTGGCGGCGGCGTTTCGTTGCCGCAGCCTCGGGGCGCCGGTGCCTCGCCCCGCGTTTGATGTCGCCCGGTCCCCCAGCCTCGGAGCCGAAGGCTCGGCGGTTGAGGTCGGGGTAGTCAGCGGCGCGGAGCTGCGGCTAAACTAAAAACTTTTATTTTTTATTTTTACCAGGTAAGGTACCCGCTGAGCTATGTAGCTCTTTTTCAGAAGCGACCTGGCCACACACAACCGATAGGTCGACAAAAGTGGCTTATCATCACGTGGGAATGCAAATCAGCCAAAAATAACCCGCATTACTTGCAGGAACTAATACATTGATATAGTCCATCAAGGGCCTTAAGATCTTCTGATCTCCAACTGCTCAGCGCTCCCAGGTCTGGGTCGCGTTCTTTTGGCGATTGGGCTTTTGTTAGCGGTGGCACCCAAACTATGGAAGCGCCTTGCCACTTGAAATGAGGGCAATCGGTAGATATATTTGTCCGCTTTGAAAACCCCATCTCTTGAAAGTGGCCTTCCCTCTTTAGTTTGGTCGGTTGCCCTGGCTCTGTTTTTGTTTCCTGCCTTTCATGCATCGCGCATTGCGATCCTAGAATGCAATGCGCATTATGCATTTGAATTATTATTAGGATTAAATTCACGCTTACTCAAAGTGTGGATGGAAAAAGGACCCAGAAAAATAAAATCCACGCGATCACGGGGAGAACACGCAAACTCGAAATATACAGCAGCAGGCGTCAGGATCGGAATCGAACCCACGACCTTCTGTAAACCTGGCGAGGTAGTTCACATCTCGCCACCAGCAGCGCACCGCTTTCGTGCCCGTCATCCTGAGACACGAGAGAAGGCGCCGCGGCGAGGCTGAGAGAGAGAGAGACCCTCACCTCAAGGCGGCATGGCCAGGCCGCAGGGGCAGAGCATGCGTGTCGCCCGCTTGGTGCGCGATCACCACGGGATATAAAGGCCGCCGGGCGTGAGTGCCGGCCACTCGCCCACCCCCTCGTGCGTACCCGGTACCGGCCTGCATCAGCGCTCGCCCCAACAGTCTGTTAAGGCTATACGGTGGGGGGGGGGGGGGGGGGTGGGAGGGGAATTTTTGTCTGTCCCATAGCCTCCTGTCGGCGAACGTTCAACACTTTACGTGGCTTCAAAGTGCACCTAGCCTGGCACAAGCACCGTGGGGATGTCACCGCCACTCGGTGGAAATCGACGCTTGGTGTTGTTTGGGAGCAGTAGTGCAGTGCTTTCCGCACTGCGCAACGGATCCAGAAACCCACGTTGGATTTCCACTCTCGGCCATCACCGCTGACAAATATATCCGAACCAGTTCTGAGCCCTCCCCCCTGGGTCGATTCAGGCAAAAAAAAGACGTGGAACCTGATGCGATGTATACACATCGCCACTGGGGAGACAAGGGCGTCCTGCCATGGTGCTGGCCACCCACTACCACGTGTGCTGGGCTCGCAAACTGCACTTGCGCAAACAGCCTCTCGGCTATACGGGGGAACTTTATATTCGTGCGTCTGGTCAACTCAGCCTCTAAATGAGTGCCTAGTGTGGTGCTTAAACATTGCCGCTGGGGAGACGGAGCCGACGCGGTGTGGTGCCGGCCAAACCAACGTCTCCCGAACGGCGTCCTACTTCATGAGCAACAGCCACGCGCAGATTTGCGTTCTCCTCCCTTTTTGCCTCGTTTCGCCAAAACGCTTTTGGCACTTTGTTATGAACACCGCTGCCCGACTCGCCCCCGGCGCACTTACGACGCAGAAAGCATCCGTCACTTGCCGTATCCGTCGCCTCAGCCCCTCACCTCCACCCAATGTCGGATGACCCTAGTAGCAAATGTAGCAGCTACACGTGTAGCAGCTACACGTGTAGCTGCTACACGTGCAGCAGCTACACATGATACGGGCCCCCGCACTTTCAAGGGCCCCGCGCTAAACGCTTTCAAGCTATCAATTCCGGTTCAGTGATTCTGCACTTGCTCTATTACTATAGTACTATACCGCCTTCAACTTTTATGAACGACTAGGTGTTCAAATCACGACTGGGTGTTTAAGGTTAGCGATATTTGTCATATTATCTGGCCGTACAGCAAATAAAAAAAATACAGTTACTTTACTATGCAAGTTCAAAATGTGTTTTTTTAAATATATTTATGTTTTTAGGGCCCCTTTATAACATATACTACAGGCAACGCACTAGCTTAATCCGGCACTGCCTCCACCTAGCCCCGTACAGAAACGAATTTTCCTCACGCACAAAGAAATGTACTGCACTGCAGAGTACAATATATTATTTACGTACAGTATTTTGGTGATTTTTTTAGTGCACTGTATAGTATTGTACCCCGTCTAATTTGTGCTAAAGCTGGCTTGCTGTACGCTCGTGTTGAGCATAATATAAAAAAATGTTTTCATTTAATGTAACGTTGTGGGTACGGCTACAATGAAGATCCGAGCATTAACACAGCGTCACCCTACCCTCCATTGTCTTTGTTCAGCTCTTGTGGAAAAGTCACCTTGATTCACGTCGTTTCGATATTCGCTGTCGCACCTTTCAAGGAACGAATCCTCCAACGTATATCGGCCTTTAAAGGCTAAACTGGGGATCATTGCCTTTTGCATGTTTTTGAATGTGCATGCACTGGTCACAGCTACCCGTGTAGTGGGCGGGGGATACCTGCGAAATGGGCGGGGCTACCCGCATAGTGGGCGGGGCTATCTGCGAAATGGGCGGGGCTACCTACGTAACAGGCGGGGCCACCAACGGAATGGGCGGGGGTTACCTGCGCAGAGGGCGGGGCTACCGGCGCAGTTGACGGAGCTACCTGCGTAGTGGGCGGGGCAAGTGACTGGGTGGGCGTAGCTCTGCAAAAGTGGGAGGGGGCTGCCAGTTCACCACGCGTCCAGATTGAGCCTCCGAGAAAATTGACAATTGATTCCAAGCCTGCGGCTCTGTTTGCGTCCTGCCTTTGTAACCCTGCAGTACGCCGAGGACCAAGCTGGCCTGAGCTCCTCCTCGTCCTCGGAGACGTCGAAGCCGAGCAGTGGCACGGAGCGCGTAAGCCACAGGAAGAAGCGAAAGTCATGCAACAGCGGAGAGGGCATCGCCAAGACCGAGTCGGAGGAGAGCCTCGCCGAGACCGCCAAGAGCAACGGCATAAAGAAGAAGGGCCGCTCACGAGAGGTATGGCCGCCTCTCCCTGGCCCCCCTCGTCCGCTCAGCGAACAGAGTCACCCCCCCCCCGTCCGCCTGCCCATCTCCCAAGTCACCTACTCACTTACCAAGTAACTCACCCACTTACTAAGTCACCCATCCACTCACTTAACAAGTCAACCATCCACCCGCTCACCTCCCAAGTCACCCACCCGCTCACCTCCCAAGTCACCCACCCGCTCACCTCCTAAGTCACCCACCCACTCACCCCCAAGTCACCCACCCGCTCACCTCCCAAGTTTTTCTCCGATTCCCCGCCTCCATCTTCCACCACGCCAACCTTCACCTGCCATCTCCCCGACCTTCCGTCTCTCTCCCACCTGCACTCCCCCCCACCACCCATCCCACCCACCTCTCTCACTCTCTCTCCACCCACCACGTCGTCCCCCACCCACAGTCGCTCATCGGCATGTACTACAAGCCCAAGCGGGCGCGCGACGCGAGCTCCGACACGGAGCTCGCCGACGACGAGAGGAGCGTGCCCGGGAGCCGCCGCGGCTCGGCCGTCCAGCGCCGCAGCAACGGCCGCGGGGAGCGGGCCGTGGCGGCGGCCGCGACGGCCGCCGGCGGTGGCGGCGCCAACCAGCACCTGCTGCTGCTGCCCGAGATTGTGGTGGACAGAGCGCCGACCGACGAAGCGGTGAGGCCGCGCTCCGAGCTTCCCGCCGACGTCTCGTCTAACCCCGCCCCGTCGCGTTCCGTCTCGCGACCGCCCTCCGCCCCGTGGCCTCTTGTCTTGTCTCGTCTTCATATAAGGGACGAAACAGGTGGACTTCTCCACATATCTGGCTGTTGCCTGATGAAGCCAGTTGTAATTACTGGCGGAACGTCGTACTCAGATTGTAAATGTTGTGGCGTGCATCTCCAACACACCGGTGTGCTGTACTAGTGACGAATTGGCGCGTTCTGTTGACGTGACAACCCTTACTAGTTGGCTGTGTCGGGTGGTGGCGGGTTTTAACGACACATTTACATATTTACGCGATCTAACCCAAAAAAAACCCCTCTATTATTGTCTTGTCTTGTCCCGCCGCGTCCTGTTTTGCCCCTGTACCGTCTCTCAACCTTCTTGTCCCGTCCTATCCCCCATCTCGTTCACTTTAGTTTCTCCACCGTCCTGCCGAGGCCTGCAATGTCTTGTGCTGGTGCTGTACCTTTCCTCAACTCTTCTACCACGTCCTCTTCAGTCTCTTAAATGCCCTGTTTTGTCCTGTCCCACCTGGCTCTGTTGCTCTATCAAGCCTCCTGCCCTGTCCCCATCCTGCCCTGCGTGGTCCTGTTCGCTCTCTCTTGACTCTCTTTTTTCTGTCCTGCCCTGTCTAGTCCTGTCCTTTCTCACCCTGTCCCCGACTCGGGTTCAGTCCCCCACACTATCCTTCCTGCCCGACCCCGTCCCATTTCCCTGCCCGTATCCTCACATCTCATTGTGCCCTCGCAGTGTCGTAAGCTGTCAAGCGCTGCGCAGGCGGTGCAACTGCACCGGGGCCCACGGGAGAGGGGGGCCCTGGCATCGGGCTAGGAGGTGGCGGTGTGGGGCGCGTGAAATTTGACCGGTGGAGGTGGGCCCGTTTAATTCCTTGCACAGGGGCCCGTGCCAGCCACGCTATGCCACTGGGTCCCAGCTTGACGACCTCGATCCAACGGCTCGTTTGGGAACAGGCAGGGGGGGGGGGGGGGTCGTGCGGGTGGGGTGGGGGGAAAGGGCGAGGGGGGCGGGGTGAGGCGGGGAGAGTGGCACTGATTCTGAAATAAAAAAAGTCTGATTCTGACGATCGACTTAATGACAAAACTAATGAGCCGGCCGTTTCATTCATTTATGCCGCGCGGCGCCCACCGAACCAACCCAATCGGCCGAACGCCGGCTACGTGTGGGCAATGGAGCCGGCACGGTCCTGAGCCTCCCCTAGGTCGACTCAGCCTCAAATGAATACCTGGTGCGGTGTGTAAACATCGCCACTGGGGAGACAAAGGCGGCCGGGCGTGGCGCTGACCACTACATCCTCTTGTGTGCTCTGCCGGCCTTCATAGGTGCGACAGGGCTAACAGCACTTGCCCTAACAGTCTGTTAAAGGATGTACGGGGGATCTTTGTCTTTGTTTCGTGTGTGCTTGTGTGCGACGATGTCTGTGTCCGTGTCCGCGACGATGTGTGTTCATGCATGTGTGACAACGTGTGCACGTGCGTGCATGTGTGCACGTGTGCAAGGACGTGTGTGTGCGTGTGTGCGACGACGCGTGTGTGTGCGAGCGTGTGTGTGTGTGCGATGATGTGCGTGTGTGTGTGTGACGCGTGCGTGTGTGTGTGCGATGACGTGTGTGTGCGTGTGTGCGACAACGCGTGTATGTGTGCAACGACGCGTGTATGTGTGTATGTGTGTGTGCGACGACGCGTGTGTGTGTGCAACGACGCGTGCGTGTGTGCGTGTGTGTGACAACGCGTGTATGTGCGTGTGTGTGTGCGACGACGTGTGTGTGTGTGCGACGACGCGTGTGTGTGTGTGCGTGCGTGTGTGTGTGACGCGTGCGTGTGTGTGTGCGACGACGTGTGTGTGTGTGTGTGTGCGACGACGCGTGTGTGTGTGTGCGACGACATGTGTGTGTGTGTGTGTGTGCGACGACACGTGTGTGTGTGTGCGTGTGTGCGACGGCGTGCAGGACACGAGCAGCGAGGCCGGCACGCGGCGCAGCGGCAGGAGGCACAGCAGCCGCTCGCTCAACCTCCTGGAGGAGCCGCGGCTGAGCAAGCGCACGCGCAGCGCCGTCACCGTGCTCACCACCGCCATGGAGGGTACCGCTTGTGTTGTTGTTGTTGTTGTTGATTACCCAGGAGTCGCAGGCCTCTTTTATCACTTTCAGGAGGATCCGGCCGCATTAGGTTTCTCATTTTTGTTATATGGAGTCTCATAGAAGCGGAGACCTATAGACTCGCACAGAGACCCATATATCCACAGGGACCCATAGACTTACATAGAGCCTCATAGATCCATAGAAACCTATAGACTCGCACAGAGACCCATATATCCACAGGGACCCATAGACTTACATAGAGCCCCATAGACCCATAGAAACCTATAGACGCACACAGAGACCCATATATCCACAGGGACCCATAGACTTACATAGAGCCTCATACACCCATAGAAACCTATAGACTCGCACAGAGACCCATATATCCACAGGGACCCATAGACTTACATAGAGCCTCATACACCCATAGAAACCTATTCGACTCACACAGAGACCCATATATCCACAGGGACCCATAGACTTACATAGAGCTCCATAGATCCATAGAAACCTATAGACTCGCACAGAGACCCATATATCCACAGGGACCCATAGACTTACATAGCGCCCCATAGACCCATAGAAACCTATAGACTTGCACAGAGACCCATATATCCACAGGGACCCATAGACTTACATAGAGCCCGATAGACCTATAGAAACCTATAGACTCGCACAGAGACCCATATATCCACAGGGACCCATAGACTTACATAGAGCCTCATAGATCCATAGAAACCTATAGACTCGCACAGAGACCCATATATCCACAGGGACCCATAGACTTACATAGAGCCCCATAGAACCATAGAAACCTATAGACTCGCACAGAGACCCATATATCCACAGGGACCCATAGACTTACATAGAGCCTCATAGATCCATAGAAACCTATAGACTCGCACAGAGACCCATATATCCACAGGGACCCATAGACTTACATAGAGCCCCATAGACCCATAGAAACCTATAGACGCACACAGAGACCCATATATCCACAGGGACCCATAGACTTACATAGAGCCTCATACACCCATAGAAACCTATAGACTCGCACAGAGACCCATATATCCACAGGGACCCATAGACTTACATAGAGCCTCATACACCCATAGAAACCTATTCGACTCACACAGAGACCCATATATCCACAGGGACCCATAGACTTACATAGAGCTCCATAGATCCATAGAAACCTATAGACTCGCACAGAGACCCATATATCCACAGGGACCCATAGACTTACATAGCGCCCCATAGACCCATAGAAACCTATAGACTTGCACAGAGACCCATATATCCACAGGGACCCATAGGCTTACATAGAGCCCGATAGACCTATAGAAACCTATAGACTCGCACAGAGACCCATATATCCACAGGGACCCATAGACTTACATAGAGCCTCATAGATCCATAGAAACCTATAGACTCGCACAGAGACCCATATATCCACAGGGACCCATAGACTTACATAGAGCCCCATAGACCCATAGAAACCTATAGACTCACACAGAGACCCATATATCCACAGGGACCCATAGACTTACATAGAGCCTCATACACCCATAGAAACCTATAGACTCGCACAGAGACCCATATATCCACAGGGACCCATAGACTTACATAGAGCCTCATAGATCCATAGAAACCTATAGACTCGCACAGAGACCCATATATCCACAGGGACCCATAGACTTACATAGAGCCCCATAGACCCATAGAAACCTATAGACTCACACAGAGACCCATATATCCACAGGGACCCATAGACTTACATAGAGCCTCATACACCCATAGAAACCTATAGACTCGCACAGAGACCCATATATCCACAGGGACCCATAGACTTACATAGAGCCTCATACACCCATATAAACCTATTCGACTCACACAGAGACCCATATATCCACAGGGACCCGTAGACTTACATAGAGTCCCATAGATCCATAGAAACCTATAGACTCGCACAGAGACCCATATATCCACAGGGACCCATAGACTTACATAGAGCCCCATAGACCCATAGAAACTTATAGACTCGCACAGAGACCCATAAACCCACAGGGACCCATAGAGACGTTTCGCTGACTGCCTCGCATGTATATATGTACGTTGAACTTCTTTTGTACGTAGCCAACCCTGATAATCGGAGGTGCGGTGCGCTTGACAACAAACTAAGACACAAAAGCATTTCGCATCTAGACGCCGCATGAATCCACTTGGTAGTGTCTTCAAGTTCACCTTTACCGTACTGCGATCTACTCTCCCTGTCTGCCAGTTCGAAGCCTCCTACCCACCCCGCACCCTCAACTCCAACTCTCACCCCTCCAAAAATAGCCAATAAAATCCCTCATCTCTCCTCGGCTGGCAAGATTCGTATCCCCCACCCCCCCCCTTTTACATTTGTGCGATGTCGAGGCGTCGCTTGCATGATCCGTAAAGCCACGTCGCCGCTTTTGTATTTTATCGTTGTTTGAGAGCGGAGGATAAATATTTACTTTGATGTAACTGGGTGATTTTTAATCTCTCTCCCCTGGCCGTGTAAAGCTTAAAAGGTGGCTTTGCTGAGTTTCAGGCATTAACGTGCAACCAGAAGAATCATCCTAGAAGTGCCTTAACCTTCAGGTGCCTCAGCCTTGAGGTGCCTTAGTCTAGAGGTGCCTCAGCCTAGAAGTGCCTCAGCCTAAAGGTGCCTCAGCCTTGAGGTGCCTTAGTCTAGAGGGAGGTGCCTTAGGCTGGCTCCACGAGCCTTGGGTAACAAGCATGGCATTTCGCCCCACGAACATGAGCTACCAGAACGCGGAGCGGAACGTCAGTACTCTCCAGAAACCGGGAGATATTTATTTTTACGTAAAGATTTGTTTGATTTTTTCCCGCAACTCGGATAATATGCGCCCCCCCCCTTCCCCCACGCATGATCGAGAGTGGCTCGTATGGCTCCAGGTTGGTTTTTTTTCCCCTGTAGAAGTACAAGCCATGGCATAGAACGAGCTATCGAGCAAAGATGGTGGTCGCCGCGTGGCGCGCTTCCAGATGCTCTTCTGCGGCCATCTGGACCGCTCTTTCTTCCGATATTAGGAAGCCAAATATATTTTTTATAACTGCTTTTTGTGCTTAGTTTGTTATCCTTCCCCCACACCTCCGATTAGCACGGTTGGCTACGTACAGTGGTGCGAAAGAGGCTCAACGTACGTACGTCCATAACGTACGAGGCGTGTGTAGATGACGCGGTGATGCCGCATCCTCGCGTCGTTAACTGGCCCTGCTTGGCCCTGAGCCGGATTCAGATGCCTTGTGAGGCCAGCACAACACAGTTTCATTCTTGCTTTGCTGGAACGAAAATGAGTTAGTGGAAAAAAAAATAACGCGTACTGTGAGGGCTCCACACTGGCTCGGCTTGGATGTGCCAGTGTGAGCTTCAATTCCCGAAAAAGGTTTATGGCACGTGGAGCAGAACGTCGGACACCATGCCCAACGACACGCGGTACGACCGGAAAACACCATCGGAGAGTTATAGGGATAATGATGGTCTGACGTTTCACTCCACAGCCTCCTGGGAGTGCTGAATCTCAGCAGCGTTGATGATTTATTATGGCCAATGAAACGCAACTCTAGAAATTCAGTTCTAAGTGGTTTAGCTTTGTCTGAGATTTGGTGAATTTCAGATACACCCACTCGCCCAATGACCCACTCATCCACCCAATGACTCACTCTCTCACTCACTTATCCATCCACCCACTCATCCACCCACGCATCCACTCATCTACACACTCACACACGGACTCACTCACCCACTCACCGACTCACCCACTCACTCATCCACCCAACCGCTCACCCACCTACTCACTAAACCACTCACGTACCCACCCACTCACTCACGTACCCACTCACTCACGTTACCCACCCACCCACTCACTCTCTCACTTACTTATCCACCCACTCATTCATCCACGCACTCACCCACCGACTCACTAAACCGCTCACGTACCCACCCACTCACTCACGTTACCCACCCACTGAGTCACTCTCCCACCCACTAGCCACCTTTAAATGTTATATTTGAGGCTGTGTGAGCTTCTCTGGTCCATGGTTCGGTGTGCATAGCCACGGTGGCACACCGCTTGAGAGGGTCTCGTATATTCTTAGCTCTTTCGGTAAAGTCACGTTGAAGGGAAACAATAAAATAATAAAATATATATAAAAAAGCAGCGTTCATTCTGAACAAGCAAACTCCGTATTGGATTTTGGGGCGTCACGGTGGCGAGATGTTAACTCCCTAGCCTGGTATGCAGGAGGTCCTGGGTTCGATCCCGAGCCTGACGCCTGCTGTATATTTGGAGTTTGCATGGCTCACTTCCCGTGGTCGCGTGGATTTTTCTCTGCGTCCTCTGGTATTTCCCTCCACGTTTAGAATCAACATCACGCGATTAGAGGATTTGGCTGCTCTAAATTTCCGCACGATAAGCCACTTCATTGAGCTGTCATTTGCGGTGGCCAGGTCGCTTCTTTTTTATTTTATTAGACGTTTGCTTTACACGAGAACAAAGGCCCGCTGCAGAACGTTGGGCGAGCAAAGAAAACTGCACGCGAATATCCGGCGAGTCCATGTACCTGACGCGCCCTGGTTGATGGGGGGGGGGGGACAGACAACCCGGGGAATGCCAGGTTGCTTCTGAACAAGAGCTAAGTAGCTCAGTGTGGGGGCCTTACCTGGCAACATAAAAAAAACTTTATTTTTTTTAGTTTTAGTTATGGACGCACACACGTCGTGGGTCGCTCACTCCTTGCCCGGTGCGCTCGTTGTCATTCCTCGTGGGGCAGAGTTGGAGGAGTCGCAGAAGAAGTGCCCCCCTGTCTGGTACAAGTTCGCCAACACCTTCCTCATCTGGGACTGCTGCCCGCTGTGGGTCAAGTTCAAGAACCTGATGAAGTTGTTCGTCATGGACCCGTTCGTCGACCTGGCCATCACCATCTGCATCATCCTAAACACGCTCTTCATGGCCATGGAGCACTACCCCATGTCACCCGAATTCGAAGAGGTCCTGATGGTCGGCAATCTGGTGAGAGCCGGGGGTGGTGGTGGTGATGATGGTGGTGAGGCTGGGGGTGGTGGAGATGGTGATGGTGGTCGTGAGGCTGGGGGTGGTGGTGGTGATGAGGCTAGGGGTGGGGGTGGTGGTGAGGCTGGAGGTGGTGGTGGTGAGGTTGGGGGTTGTAGTTGGTGGTGGTGATGAGGCTGGGGGTGGTAGTGATGGTGGTAGTGAGGCTGGTGGTGGTGTAATGGTGATGTTTAGGGTGGTGGTGATGAGGCTAAGTGTGGTGGTTGGTGGCGGTGATGATTGAGGTGGCGGTGTCCGTCTGTCTATAGTGAATGGTGGTGCTGGGGGGGTACACGATAACTCTCCTAATATTAAATCATGAACATAAAGTTCCATTCTCCCTGGTTCTTTTGGTAAAGTCACGTAGATAGAAAAAATAATAAAAGAAACACGATGTTTCGGTCGCAACACAAGCTGAAGTTCCACTGCTCTTCGAGACTTAGCCTAGCGAAAACCAGCCACACTGATCAACGGATTTTTCATCTTTCTGCATGCAAAAGACGATTCCTTACGAACATAACGTCAGTACAGCAACAGCCCTCTTATCCGGCAACCTGACCATCCGGGGCGCTCTATTTACCCGGCATCTGTCGCAGGCGGCAATGCGAACCCTCCGTTCGCCTCATCTGGAAGAATGTCGACAGAACTTCCGGCATCTTGCCGTACGCTTCCCGCAGATCCGTCGTTTGTTTACGGCAGATTGGCGACGTCACCGCCGAGTGGCGGTGCTCACGGCGGTCTGTGCATGCGGTAACCGTGCTCCTGTATTCTGTACTCTCTTTAACGAGCCGCCCTGCTTCACCGCAATCAATTTGCGAGTGCTCCACAACTGACTGGTGAGTACCCATTGGCAGAGTTTGTTGGGGGGATGGGGGGCAATGCCGCCCGCAAACTGGACGCCTTCATTAATTTGTTTTCAGTAGTTTACAATGAAGGTAAAACAATTAAGTACAGGGTGCTTAAAAAAAAAAACAATGTTTAACACTTTTGAGAATTTGCAACAATGCCACGAGGAATGTGCCTCTGGGCTTTGGAGACCACCTGGGGAAGATTCCAGGCAACACGTTGACAATGTTGGCGAACAAGTGGGAGACTTTTCATTTAAAGCTTTCGTGACTGCAGGGATTCATATTCTTGGTTCTTTCGATAAAGTCACGTAGAAGGGAAACAATAAAATAATACAAATATAAAATAATAAAATTCTCACGACGTTTCGACTGCAACACAAGCAATCATCATCAGGTGTGAAAACCACAGCAAGAAATTTTTTTTTCAAAATTTTCTTGCTGTGGTTTTCACACTTGATGATGATGGCTTGTGTTGCAGTCGAAATGTCGTGAGAATTTTATTGTTTTATATTTTTATTATTTTATTGTTTCCCTTCTACGTGACTTTACCGAAAGAACCAAGAATATAAGTGGGAGACTCTTTGACTTTTTGAAGCCATTAACACACATTTGTTATCATGTTACAGTGTAGTAGTATCCGTTCTTTTTGCATTAAAAACGATAGTCCCATATACGTGATTCCTAATGTGATGGACAAAGCGAACCTCCTGCCCACCCCCCAAAAACAGAAGTTGAACTCCACCCATGTAAGTACCTCTGTAAGAGAGTATATTATTGCTGAAGCGGAAGTAAAACCCTCCAATAACCGGCGTGTCTGATTAACCATGCACCCTGCATTCCCCATGGATGCCGGATAACAGAGATTTTTTTCTTTAAAAATAAGTTGAGGTTGTGCCCCTTCTGCCAATAAAAACCGGTGTTTGTTGTCTCGTCATTTTGGTAACTGGCAAATGAGTCCCATAGATATAGAGCTTTTTGCTGTGTATGTATATAGTTGTGCTGTTTGTTATTTGTAAGTTACTCTCAAGAAAACCGGCCCAACTTGATCAAAGACTCCCCCGCCCCGCTCCCCCGCCACGTGTGTCGGGAAGCGTCGCTGAGCAATCCACGTGCTTATTCAACCACTTATTCAACCACTCCGCCCGGTGCCTCATTTTCAGCCGGAACAGTCCGGAACGCTCTTCCCGGAGTCATTTTTAGAACCCGGCCGGCCACGTCCGCCCCTCGGATTTGATCCTGCCCCTCGTGATGATGCAGTGTTGCGCACGGAGCGGGCGTGTCTTGTACTCAGTGGTAGTGCCTCATGCCGATATTCTCCCTACTCTAAGCCCGCCTAGCAGCGGTTCCGGATTAGCGCTAGACGGGAACCCGTTGGTTGAGATCCGGTTGGTTCATCTTCTTTGGTTCTTTCGGTAAAGTCACGTAGAATGAGAATAAAAATAATAAATTGATAAAATAAAATAACACAATAATATTCTCACGACGTTTCGGCCACAACACAAGCGGCCTTCATCAGGTGAAGGGACGAGACTGTCTGGTAGGACAGCGCTGGAGTGAAAGAGCCACGTTCAGATCACGGCCTTTAAGCTGTGTGAGAGGAACAAAGCGCCCTCAACTTTAGCACCACGGATAGCTACGGGCCCCGTTCAGACGGACGAGTTCGTCCATGGTCGGAACAGAGGAGGGGGAGAGAGACAGCTGCGAGGCCCTAGTATACTTAGAGTCACCTCTCACACAGCTTAAAGGCCGTGATTGAACGTGGCTCTTTCACTCCAGCGCTGTCCTACCAGACTGTCTCGTCCCTTCACCTGATGAAGGCCGCTTGTGTTGTGGCCGAAACGTCGTGAGAATATTATTGTGTTATTTTATTTGATCAATTTATTATTTTATTCTCATTCTACGTGACTTTACCGAAAGAACCAAAGAAGATGAATCATTGCAGTCACGAAAGCTTTAAATCGAAATCCGGTTGGTTCTTGCGGTGATGAATCGTAACATTGGCTGCGATCACCTGTGCGCTATGTTGAGAGGTGAATCGCTGATCAGAGTCTCTGTTTGCCCCCCCCCCCGCCCCCCCTCCACCCCCTCGCCCCCCCCCCCCCTCCCGCGCACGAAGGTGTTCACTGGGATATTCACGGCAGAGATGGTGCTCAAGCTCATCGCGCTCGACCCCTACGACTACTTCCAGGTGGGCTGGAACATCTTCGACAGCATCATCGTGAGCCTGAGCCTCATGGAGCTGGGCCTCAAAGACGTGGAGGGCCTCTCGGTGCTGCGCTCCTTCAGGCTGGTAGGTCTCACGCACCTGCCCACCCACCTATCAGACCACTTACCCACCTACCTGCCCACCCACCTATCAGACCACTTACCCACCTACCTGCCCACCCACCTACCAGACCACTTACCCACCTACCTGCCCACCCACCTACCAGACCACTTACCCACCTACCTGCCCACCCACCTACCAGACCACTTACCCACCTACCTGCCCACCCACCTACCAAACCACTTACCCACCTACCTGCCCACCCACCTACCAGACCACTTACCCACCTACCTGCCCACCCACCTACCAGACCACTTACCCACCTACCTGCCCACCCACCTACCAGACCACTTACCCACCTACCTGCCCACTCACCTACCAGACCACTTACCCACCTACCTGCCCACTCACCTACCAGACCACGTACCCACCTACCTGCCCACCCACCTACCAGACCACTTACCCACCTACCTGCCCACCCACCTACCAGACCACTTACCCACCTACCTGCCCACCCACCTACCAGACCACTTACCCACCTACCTGCCCACCCACCTACCAGACCACTTACCCACCTACCTGCCCACCCACCTACCAGACCACTTACCCACCTACCTGCCCACCCACCTACCAGACCACTTACCCACCTACCTAACTACCCACCCACCTTCCCACTTACCCACCTACCTAACAACTCACCGACTTACCAGACCACTTACCCACCTACCTAACTACCCACCCACCTTCCCACTTACCCACCTACCTAACTACACATCTACCTGCCTACTCACCTACTGTACCTGCCTACCCACGTATCTGCCTACTCACCCACCTACCTAGCTACTCACTTCCTGCTTACCCACATTCCTGCCTACCCATCTACCTGACTACTCACTTACCTACCCACATACTCACCTACCTAACCACGTAACTGCCTAGGGAATGTTTCCTGCTGGTTAGATACCAGTTCGCCCCTCCATGCCCCCCCCCCCTTTTTCCACTTCGTCATGGATGAGGAGAGTGAATTAAATTAAATTGTACTTCATTAAAACTACCGGCTACTGACGCTGCATGTAACGGTCTCGTCGTCAGCGTTAGCTCGTGGACTGGAGAGAAACCCAAAAGTATACTGCGATTTTTTTTTATTACTGGCCAAAATGTTGCGAGTGGTTCAGCCAAAACTAAACGTTCCGTGGGTGTCTCTTCGCCACATCGACAAACTTGGAGGTTGGTGGGGGGTAGTGGCGGTGCATGTTTTGGCCACATCCAAACACGCTAGGGGTTGTGGGGGGGGGGGTCCGGGTACCCTGTGGTTATGCTTCAGCTCGTTACTAAAAATACATCGGCTTCATCCCATTAAAACATTGATTAAGCTCGCAATGTCATGTGACCACCCCCCCCCCCCCTCTGCTAAGCAGCTGCATGGGAAGGACTCGATAACCGACCCAAGGGGGTTGGCCTAGCTAAAAGATCAGTGACACCCCTGCGCGATAGTGGTACGGTCCGTGGCAAGTAGCACGCAACCGGTCACGGCCGTACCATTCCCTCGAGTGTGCGCATGTGGGGGGGTGGGGGGGGGATCAGGCGTTGGTATTGGCCACACCACCCCCTCGTGCACTGCTCCGGTCTTCATAGGTGCTTGCTAACAAGACTTGCCCCAACAGTCTGCGAAGGCTATATGGGGGATCTTTGTCTTTGGTGGGGTGGTGGGTGCTCCGGGCACCCCAGGTTTCTTCCAGCATGCACAAAGATACTCAAGAAGGAATACAATTAATTACGGAATGGTCGAGTTGTGCCACTCATATATAGAATGCAACGGCGTTGCGGTCCAATGGCCTCTTGGCCTTTCAGCTATGTGTGTTGACGTTGAATTTCTTTCGCACCGTACGTAGCCAACCGTTCTCATTGGATATTGCCGGCGGGGGGGGGGAGGCACAACAAACTAAACACAAAGCATGACCAATATTCGTCGACAACAGCTGTTTAATTAGGCAAATAAAACGCTTGGATCTGTTTCGACTTCTCTTGAGACTCATCGGCAGGATGTGGTCCACTAAGCAAATGCCACAATAACACATTGGTGTGGATGGTCAACAGATAGCTTTATTTTATTCGTATTTATTCAGTGGTTTAAACAACCCCGGTTTGTTGTACGTGTTTTTATTTATTTATATTTACCCACAATTTACCAAGACAGGACGCAATGGACGGATTTTTAGAGTGCGGCACCGCGAGAGGTGGTGACGGATTGGCCGTGACTGACGATGATGATGAAGAGATTGGGCAAGCATCCCAGAGGCAGGGTCCTCTGAAAAATAATCTTCAGATTCAGTGAGACTTCCTCGGATGAATAAAGTAAATAAACTCTCCGTTGATTTCTAATTGAGTATTATGTTCTGAGTACTTTTATTTGATCACTAAATCATACATTTTAATAGTCGTATTCTCGTTACAAATTAGATAAACTGGAAATTGCTCGAATTCGTCGTCGAGTGACGTTGGGGAAACCGCCGTGGTGCTGCTAAAACGGCGCGATGGTTCTCAGCACGCCGAAGTCGCAAGTCCGACTCCATCTCCAGCGGCGTGCGGCGTGTAGTGAACATCAGCACCGCGGAGACAAAGGTGGCCGGGGGTTGGTACTAGCCACACCGCCCCCTCGTGTGCTGTGCCGGCCTTCATAAGTGGCGCTCGCTAACGGCACTTGCCAGGACGGTCTGTAAAGGCCACACGGGGTATCTTTGTCTTTGTACGTGCGTGAGCGAGCTTGCCGTAGAACGTGTGCGTGATCGTTGACGTTATTCGTGTGCGCACACATTCTCTCGCCCTCTCTTTTTCCCCTCTCCTTGCTCGGATTACAAAATGATCCTTTGCGCGCCGAGCTTCATTAATGGAAATCCGAGGCTTGACACAGGAGAGGGGAGTTAAACATAGCCTGGTGAGATCTCGGGCGTGTGTCGGTGGTGATGATGATGATGGTGGTGGATGGTGGAGGTGATTCTGATGGTGGCAATGGTCGTGGTGGTGATGCTGATGATGGTGATAATCGTGGTGGTGATGATTGTCGTGGTGTTGATGATCATGGTGGTGATGGCGATGATGGTGGCAGAGTGGTGGTGTCGGTGATCGCGGTGGTGGTGATGATCTGGGTATTGGTGATGATCAGGGTGGTGGTGATCTTGGTGATGTTGGTGATTATATAAGTGGTGGTGTTGACCTTGGTGGTGATGATCGTGTTGGTGGTGGTGGCAATGATCGTGGTGGTGATGCTGATGATGGTGATAATCGTGGTGGTGGCGATGATTGTCGTGGTGTTGATGATCATGGTGGTGATGGCGATGATGGTGGTAGAGTGGTGGTGTCGCTGATCGTGGTGGTGGTGGTGGTGGTGATGATCTGGGTATTGGTGATGATCATGGTGGTGGTGATCTTGGTGATGTTGGTGATTGTAGAAGCGGTGATGTTGACCTTGGTGGTGATGATCGTGTTGGTGGTGGTGGCAATGATCGTGGTGGTGTTGATCGTGGTGTTGCTGGCGCTGGGTGCTATCTCGTCTGTATGTTTTGTTTTTTCGTTTATGCCGTTATTTTGGCTTCATTCATCTCGAATCAACGTGAGTACATCGTGAGCACGCAATCTCCATTAAACTGTCAACAGTTCATCAGTCGGTGGTGTAGCAGTCAGCGCACTGGATGCATCATCCGGTCGTCGCCTGTTCGATTCAATCTCCTGGCGCGGCGACTGAAACGATTGATCAACAGTCAGTGCCGGATTATCTTTGTAGCAAAAGTAGCTACACGTGTAGTAGCTACGGGCCCCGAACTTTCAAGGGCCCCACGCGAAATTCTTTCAAGCTATCAATTCTGGTTAATTCATTCTGCACTTGCTCGATTACTATAGTACTATACCGCCTTCGACTTTTATGAACGACTGGGTGTTTAAGGTTCGCGATTTGTCGTATTATCTGGCTGTATAGCAAATGAAAAAAATACAATTACTTTGCCATGTAAGTTAAAAATGTAAAAAAAACGTTATTTTGGGCCCCTTTATAACATACGCGACAGGCCCCGCACTAGCTTAATCCGGCACTGCCAACAGTGCGAGATTCTTAAACCCCCCCTCACTCCCTCCTGCCTCGCTTCTGCCCACCCAGCAGCGTAACTGCGTACGACCACGATTGGTCGCTCGCCGGGTCTCGTGCGGTGGGGTACATCGTGGGGTTCTTCCACGTCTTCGGTGAAGTGCGGCAAGCGTGCGGGGAGGGAGCGTGGGGGCCAAGCAGCACCGCTGTCTCCCGTCAACGGATTTCCTCGTCGCGCCCTGCGCCAAAATAACCCCGCGTCTGTCAAATATAAACAAAATGCTCTTAAGCCCCCTACTTTAAGCCTAGGCGCGTAGTGTTCGGGACAGAGGCCCGCGGATTTTTTTGTACCCCACCGTCGCGTCACAGTTTGTGCTCCGCACCGGGGCTCCTATTGAAAGTGTATACAGGTAGTCCTCTACTTACGGTGGAGATGCGTTATGACGACCCCATCGTAACTCGGGGACTACCTGTATTTTAAACAAAAAACTCGTAAGAGTGTTGTGAAGCGTTAATTGAAAAGCCACGAGAACCATTGCGAACAGAGTAGAACACGTGGAGGACCTCATTCGAGACCCAAAAATCGTCACACGTCATGGGACCTAATCTTGCCATTGTCTGTGAAACTGATTGGTCCACACCAGAGACAGCTTTCTCAAAGACAATGCGTATACAGCGGTACCTCGGTATACATCGTTAATTCGTTCCAGAAGGTAGGAGGACTTATACCGAAAATGACGAATACCAAACGAATTTTTCCCATAAGAAATAAAGGCAAAGGAAATAATCCGTTCCAGAGTAGAAGAAATGATATTTTATATGGCATATTATACATTAATGTGGTTGTATACAATAATGTAGACACTACTTAGTACTAAAATGCATAAATTAAAATGACAAAAAACACGTGAAAATTCGCAGAGAGTTACAGCAAGAGTTGTGCACTGAACGAGATCTACAGGCAGACTGAGGAGCGGCGCTTTGTTTCAGTCGTGAACGGGGTCTACGCGGGTACGCGGTGACTCATCCCGACCCATACAAGTTCTAGCAAGCGCGTCGTATCCCAAGCAAGACGTCGTACCCCAACACATTTCTTTTCTCGACAAAACACGACGTATACCAAATTCGACGTATTCCAAAGCGGTCGTATACCGAAGTATGACTGTATTACCAGAGCAGCTTTTTATTTGCATGTTCACCACAAGTACGTGTGGTTAATGCAGACATGATTTCTTGCAAAACGTTTCTGTTTGGTGTGTTAACATGTTTCATTGCCAGAAAGGGTAAAACCTATTGTTATATCATCACACCTCCTCTTGGCTTGGATATTCTTCCTCGTCCTCGTAGACACCGGTGGTCTAACCATCAACTACATCAGAATGCCAGCAGGTCGATTCGCAACATCTCCTTCGCGAGTGGAAACGTTAAAGACAAAACGCCCCAGGAGTGTGATTGTGGCCATGTGCCCCAAACCATGGACCCATATAGTCAGCCCACAGAGACACATGAGATACACCGTCATGGAGCTAGAGACCCATAGAGACACATAGAGACACATAGAGACTCATAGAGATACATAGAGACGCATAGAGATACATAGAGACGCATAGAGATGCATAGAGACCCATAGAGACGCATAGAGATACATAGAGACGCATAGAGATACATAGAGACGCATAGAGATACATAGAGACGCATAGAGATACATAGAGACTCAGAGACACATAGAGATACATAGAGACGCATAGAGATACATAGAGACCCATAGAGACACATAGAGACACATAGAGACACATAGAGATACATAGAGACACATAGAGACTCATAGAGATACATAGAGACACATAGAGATACATAGAGACACATAGAGATACATAGAGACTCATAGAGAGAGACAGTTGTAGAAATGCAATAATGACAAGCCACAGTCATGCGACTGACCATGCAACCCAAGCTATGAACCCCGCAGTAAACCCGCTGTGGTCTGCGCTCCTTCGACGGAGGAGGAGGAGGAGAAGGAACAGTGACAGTCTGCTGAAGCCCTCTCGCCGTGACCAGCAGCAGACTTCCACATTGGCATCTATAGCTCCTGAACACATTGCTGCTGCTTATCGTGCGCAATAGCCGAATACTGAAGTTGCTTTTTGTTTACTCGCACGAATGAGACGCCTGATGGTGTTTGAGCCAGGATGTGCTCATTTGTTACCATTGGTATTAATGTCTGTAATTACAACAGCGGACCATTTCCCACGGCCTTGGCAGGCCCAACCGGTGGTTCAGGAACCAAAAGTTTAGGAAGAGCGGCTCTTCTAGACGGAGTTCCCTCCAGTGAATGCTCTCGTGTGGGGACACATCTCTCCGTTGTACAGCATATACGTTTACGTTCCACTCTCGTTAATTCACAGGGATTCCTCAGGCCGCTGATGATGAAGACCTCCGAGCCATGCCCGTGTTTTAGTCAAGAGGGCCCCTCTGGCAGCAGTGGGCGTGAGCAAGCGCTTGCAGGGCTGCACCTTTACCTCGTCTATCATTATTATGATTATTTATTACAGTTTGAGCCGTGTTCACTTTCTCCAATGCACCCTCTCCGCAGCGTTCTTGCGTGAAGGGCGTTACAAAAAAGTGACGACGGCGTTTAGTGTCGGGTGAAACATATCGTGAACGGGCGCAATTAGCCGGGGCGGCCGGGTTACAAGGCAAAGGCGGTTCGTGTTACCTGAGCCGCTCACCTGGGCGAGCTCGCGACACACGCCGGGGCGGACGAGCGAGGCAACGCGAGAGGAGCGCCGACTATATACGCGTATACACAGGGGGCTTAAAAAAAAATGTTAACACTTCCGAGAATTTGCAACAGCGCCACGTGACACGTGCTGCCGCCTCCGGGCTCTGGAGACCACCTGGAGAAGGTTCCAGGTGATGCGTTGACAACGATGGCGAACAAGTGGGGAGACTCTTTGAGTTTTTGAAGCGATTAACATCCATTTGTTATCATGTTACAGTGTATTTATTCGTTCTTTTCCCATAAAAAAACGATAGTCCCATGTAAGTGTTAACATTTTTTGAAGCGCCCTGTATATATATTATTTGTCGCAAACGCAGCCGGTAGTTTGTTTTTTTCTTTTTCCTTTGCCGATCGGACGAAAACCCGCGGCTCATTCGTCGTTTTAAATAATTACCGAATAAAAATGTGCTCGCTCACGCAAGGCAAAGACAATGATCCCCCCCCCCACCCGGGTAGCCTTAACAAACTTTCAGGGCAAGTGCTTATTTAACGAGCACCTCGCTCGACACACACACACAGCCTCGTGCATTTACTCCCTGTGACGCTCACAGCATCAAACGCTCAGTCTTCAAGCAAACGTGATTTCCCTTCACACGCTCGCCCAAACGCTCCCACGTCCACTCGCTTGCACACTCGCACAGCAGGCAAAGCCACTCACTTGGCTACTGCTCACTTAACGTGGTGGTTGTCTTCATCACGGTCTCCCAAGACACGATCGTTCGCTCGTGAAACTGCATGCGCGCTCGCGATCTGTTCACACCAGTATTAACGGTCTTGGCCATTTAATTTAATCGTAATTCGTAAATATTTTCGTCGTTTCCTCCCTGATTGTGCCATCGGCGTCACCCCATTCGATGAAGAACTCGCTCAGATCGCTCGCAAAGCAGCTGCGACCCCTTCGTATTAGCCAATGGCCCGAGGAAAGTGGATATCGCAGAACTACCTCTTGAGATACCTTCTTCAAGTGACAAAGCAGGGGGCAGCACTTTCCTCACCCACACCGTCGCCGAGAGTGACGTTTGTCGCGCAACGGCTAAGCCCATATTTCATTCTCAGAGCTGGAATCTTCACCAAATTCAGTGTGGAACCAAATTTCACGTGATGGGTTTTGTTGTCGTCGTTGTTGTTGGTTGAATGGGCTATCCTGACAGCGGTTTGACAAAGTTTCAAACGGAACGTCGAATCTAATTGTTACATTTGGTTGTTCAGAATTATTCTTCAAGCTCACCGGCGAGCTGAGACAACAGAAATGTAGCGCGTTAAGTGCTGGGCACGCGTGACGACGAATTTGTTTTGGTGGCCGTGTCAGGTGCCGGAGGGTTTTTCACGATACACAATTTGGTCAATTCGCCACGTGGCGGGCCGAAAATAAATAAATAGGTACGAGTCGTAACATCGGCTGCAAAAACCCGTACGACGTGTTATACCATCACGCGAACTCCGGTAATCCTCGCAACGGCTTTTGGCTGGCCATCGAACAAAGATGATCACCGCATTATACGCTTTCAGGTGCGCTGCTGAGGCCGTCTGGAACGCTCTTTCTTCCGATGTGAGGAAGCCACTGGAGCTATAAAACTGCTTTTTGTGTTTAGTTTGGTGCCCTTCCTCCGCACCTCCGATTAGCGCGGTTGTATATACATACCGTGCAAAAGAAGTTGAGCATACATATGTGCATACAACTCCTCCACTTTTTATTGTATTTTTTTCATATCAATCCAGATGCGAGTGTTCAAGCTGGCCAAGTCGTGGCCGACGCTCAACATGCTCATCAAGATCATCGGCAACTCGGTGGGCGCGCTGGGCAACCTGACACTGGTGCTCGCCATCATCGTCTTCATCTTCGCCGTCGTCGGCATGCAGCTCTTCGGCAAGAACTACAAGGAGTGCGTGTGCAAGATCAACGACGAGTGTGTGCTGCCGCGCTGGCACATGAACGACTTCTTCCACTCGTTCCTCATCGTGTTCCGCGTGCTCTGCGGCGAGTGGATCGAGACCATGTGGGACTGCATGGAGGTGGCGGGCCAGACCATGTGCCTCATCGTCTTCATGATGGTCATGGTCATCGGCAACCTTGTGGTGCGTTGGCAAAAGCTCCATGGCGGCGATCGATGCTCTTTAAAATCATGTTTTTTTTTCACTTTTACCAGCTCACTGACATGGCTCACCGACGTTAGAGGTTGGTGCCAGAAAGATGTGGCGCTATTTGAGCGTATTGGCACGAGATGGAGGAAAGTGGAAAGAAATGACGAAATGTGCGGTGGAGACCTACGGGCTATCTGCCCATGGATCGTGATGATGATGAAGGCCCACTGAGCAATGCAGCAGCCCTTTTCCAGAAGCAACCTGGCTATCACAAATGATCGCTCAACAAAGTGGCTCATCATCACTTGGAAATTCATAGCAGCCGAATAATCTAAACGCGTGATGTTGATTCTAAACGTGGAGGGGAAAAGCGGAGGACCCGGAGAAAAATCAATGTGACCACGGGGAGAGAGAGATATGTGCAATCTTTCAATACACAGGCATCAGGGTCGGAATCGAACATACGACCTCATTTATACCAGGTGAGGTAGTTAACATCTCGCCACCATGGCAATGTAATAATATTTCCTGACCTCCCCTAGCTGTTGTCGGCACGGGGATGACTTCATCGTGGCACGCAGGGTCAGCCTCAGGAGGGTGCTGGGGAAGGTGCTGGAGTGGGTGAGCCCTGAACAACCAAATGTCTCTTTGGGCCCCCACTCAAGTTCACTCTTCTGAGTGGTATTATCGCACCATTACGGTGCTCCCCCCCCCCCCCACACAACGGCTCTCATGGTTCCCCCCAATCCGAGAGGAGCTGGAGCCGGGCCTGATGCCACGGGGAACCAGTTAGAATATGCGTTAGAACCTTAACACGAAGGCTTTCGCAGCCTCTACTATAATTCGTAACCAGTTGGCTTGCGGCCGCGTCTGCAGCATTATTTTGTTGATGCTTGCTGTGCTCATTTGACTGTCTTTTCGTCGTAGGAAGTTCATGGTCGAAGCTCTCATTGTGGAGTTGGGGTTTATTTGTTTACAAAGTCGGTGTCATATTTTGAGAGTTACGAGTTTGTGGCTTTTTACGGGGCCCTGCTGTTTTAATTGGAAGTCTCCTATTTAGGCCTCCTCTTCAAGCCCTGCCCCCTTCCTCTTAAAGCCCTGCCCCCTTCCTCTTTAGGCCACGCCCCCTTCTTGTTTAGGCCCACACCTTTCATATTTAGGCCAGCCCTTTCCTTGTTCAGGCCCTGCCCTTTTCTTGTTTAGGCCACACCCATTTCCTGTTTAGACCCGCCCCCTTCCCGTTTAGGCCCCATTCCCTTTGTCTTGAGGGCAAAGGGAATTGGCTTGTTTTGGGCGCGTGTTTTTAGTTTTTCACAGGCACATTGGCACTTTCTTTCTCGCGCGGGACTTGGCAACTCTGGGCTCGAGCCGAGTTGATGCGCGTGAGACAGCGCGAGTGAAGAGTGGTTGGTGCGGGGTGGGGGGGTTGTGGAATCAGGGCGGGGGGCGGTGGGGAGTGTACGCGCAACAGGAAGAGGAATTGGTGGGCGGGGTCAGTAGCGAGTGATGGGGCGGCCTCGTAACAACCAGAATTCCCCTTCGAGCAACATAAGATTATTATGATTAATCATAATGTTAGTTTTGGTTTTGCCACGTAATAAGCTGGCCACATTTGTGGCTCCTTGGATTTAATTCCTAGGTCTTTCCTTTATTTTCTTTTCCTGAAGCGGTTTCACGTGAAACTCCATACCCGAGTGCCCCATTTGGCCATGATAATTGTCCTTGAACTTACAGGCGAGCCGAAACAATAAATGATCGTTACGTTCGGGGGCTTGCACACCACGGCACACCTTAACTTGTTTCCCTATGTCGGGTGGTGGAGGGCCTTTATGATAAAACATTTGTCCAGTTCTTATTCTCGAATGAATGATGTTGGCAGGGTCGCCTAATGGCACATAATGACCACTTCCGGCGGGTGGGGGTGTTGAGTGGGCCGGCAGCCAATCAGGGTTTAGAGTGCAGTAGCAGCATGTGACACGTCACGTGACCCCGCCGGTAAGTTTCTCCACGGTGTTGGTGTGGACACGTTTCACGTGGCGTCAGGCACAATGATTGCTAGAAATTATTCTGACAATTATGCCCATTATAACCGCGACGACGTCATCCATGGCAAAGGCTGATGATGATGATGACGACGACAACAGTTTGTTGTCCTTCCCCTGCACCTCGCAAGTCTTAATTGCGAAACGAATAGCAATCGTTGCTCCCTGTACTACGAAAATGCATAGGTCTCGGAAATATGCACTCTTTCCGGCACTTCCCATAGCACAGTTAGCTACGTACGGTGCGAAGGAAGTTCAACATTTGTATAAACATTGACAACTAAACCAACAGCGACAAATACGACGACGACAACAGCAAACAAACAACAACCATTTCGCTGATGACGATCTCTTCTTCCCCCCCCCCCCCTGCCCCCTTCATCCGAAACCCGTCAGCTCCTCAACCTCTTCCTGGCGCTGCTGCTCAGCTCGTTCAGCGGCCTATCGGCGAGCGACGAAGACAACGAAGCCAACAGCCTGCAGATCGCCATCGCGCGGATCGAGCGCGGCGTCGCGTTCATCAAGGGCTACGTGCGGGGAATTTTCGCCAAGTGCATCAAGCGCGGCGGCCCCGGCGCCGACGGCAGCGACAGCAATGGCAATGACGCCGCCGCTCTCGAAGAGGGGAAACCGTTGGACAAATCCGACAACTGCGTCCGGAACCACACGGCGCTCGAGATGGAGACCCTGCAGAGTAACGGGCAGGGAGCCGGCGACGATACGAAGGGGTCGCCTGCCACGGACGGGGAGCGAGCGGGGCTCCTGGCAAATGCCGTCCTTCCGGTGCGAGTGCCGATAGCCAAGCTGGAGGCCGAGTTGGAGCGCCGGGCTTCGAGCAGCTCGTCCTCGTCGACCTCCTCGTCGTCGTTGTCGCTGGTGGATGGCGTGAAGAAGAAGGTGAGCGCGAGAGGAGGCCCTCGCGTTCGGTTGAGGCAGCACCCTGTTGAGGCCAGCACGGGTGTGCGGTGTGTGGCCATCACTGCGCCCGGCCGCCTTGGCTTCCCTTCTGTTGCCGTTTACACAATGTACCAGGTACTCATTGGTGGCCGAGTTGAACTCTGGGAAGCCCAAGGCCGGAAATCGAACGCAGGTTGCCGGGTTCGTAGCGCAGTACGCTCCTCCCTATAATTTAGCATCTGCCTTAATCGGCGCTCGCTGACGTCTCTTGCTCCTGCAGTCTAAACGAGACCGAACAAGGGACCTGCCTGTGTGTGTGCTTGTGGTGGTGGTGGTTGTCGTAGTGCAGCGGTTAGCACGATGTGCGACGAACTCGGCCACTCGGTTTCGATTCCCGCTCACGGCCAACATCAGTGACGATTGTCTGAACTGGTCCTGGGCCTCCCCTAGGTCTACTCAGCCTCAAAAAGAGTACCTGGTGCGGAGGGTCAACATAGACCACCGGGTGTGGTGCTGGCCACCCACCCCATCGTGCATCGTTCCAGCCTTCACAGGTGCTACTCTCTCACAGGACTCGCCCCAACAGTCCGTAAAAAAGCTATACGGGGGGGGGGGTCTTTGTGCTTTGTGCAGAGATACGGTAACGAGGGCAGCTCGTCGGAGGCGAGCACTGTGGACCTGGCTCCCAACGACGTGGTCGAGGAGGCGCTGGAGACCGACGAGCAGGAGGAGGGGCCCCTTGGCTGCTTCACCGATGGTAAAGCTGCCAAACGTCCTGGTTTAGCCGCAACAGTACCGGTGTCCTCACATATTCATATGGCGTCTGGATGCGAACTGATTTTTTTTGCGTGTTAGCTTGTTGTCCTTCTCCCCCCCACCCCACACACCTCCGATTAACACGGTTGGCTACGTACGGTGGTGCAAAAGAAATTCAACGTACACACACACCGAAGCTTTTGTGAACATCAGTATTGTCGCCCCCTTTAAAATCTTACCGCGGCAAAGGGAGGAGCCACCGTAGTAGTGGGCGGAGCTGATCGAGTAGTGGGCGGAGCTGCCAGAGTAGTGGGCAGAACTGCCTGAGTAGCGGGCGGAGCTGCCCGTGTAGGGGGCGGAGCCGCACGAGTAGTGGGCGAGGCTGACACGAAAGGCTGAGGAGGGATAGTGACTGAGTGGGTCTGGCTACGTAACAGTGGACAGGGTTTGGCGGATCTGAGGGATGGGATGTCAGCTCGCCACCCGTTAGCGGTTCGGTGAAGGTGAAAGCGCTGGTGGCAGAGCCTTCATCTGCGGTAGCTCTAGAGAGCCCCTATGGGGTGCCACGGTGGCGAGATGTTCACTCCCTCACCTGGTATACAGGAGGTCGTGGTTTCAATCCCGACCCCGATGCCTGTATATTTGGAGTTTGCGTGTTCTCCTCGATATCGCGTCGATTTTTGTCCGGGTCCTCCGGATTTTCCCTCCATATTTTATAAACGTGCGTTTAGAGTATTTGGCTGCTATAAATTTTCATGTGATAAGCCTCCTCATTGAGCTATCATTTGTGGCCAGGTTGCTTCTAAAAATGAGCTACATAGCTCAGTTGGTCTGACCTGGTAAAACAAAAAATAAATTTCAGTGTTCCGATGATTCAGCCTTCCAGATATTCGGTGCCTGATCACCTTTACGACAGAATAATTGTGACCCCCCACGTTACAAACAGACAGACTGTTCGGCAGGCTGACAGAAGGACACAGCTAATGAATGAACGCTTTCGACCTTAGCTGGAAAGTGATCTCCCATTTTTGCTAGAGTTATTGTGACGCTCACGTAACAAAACAAAAACAACACGTGACGGACAACGGACGGACAAAAGCCGAATGCTCACGCCAATCGGTAACGCCGAGCGAACGACCGCCGCCCTCCCCCCCGGCAGAGTTTGTGCGTCGTCACCCGATCTGCGACGTGGACGTGGAGAGCGGACGCGGCCTCGTCTGGTGGACGCTGCGCCGCGCCTGCTTCCGCATCGTCGAGCACAACTGGTTCGAGACGTTCATCGTCTTCATGATCCTGATGAGCAGCGGCGCGCTGGTGAGAGCGCCGGTCTTCCGAAGCGCTGCGAGAGACGGTCGCAGCACAGCGACGGTGCACCGACACGGCGTTCCGAGGTCAAAGTCGGCGACGCGGAGGCTCGGGATGGACGCTCGCCACTTTACGTCAGCCCTGGCCGGGAATCGAACTCAGCTTCGTTGATCTAGGAGGAGTGTTACCGAGTGTCAAGACTAGGAAAATATCTAATTGCGTTTTTTCTGACAGATATTGAACTGAAGTCAAGCTTCAGTTCAATATCCACTGTGTAATAGATTTAAAACATGTGATGGGGCATTACCACGTGATACCATCAACATTTGAACGGCTCTATATATTCTAATGCAAGGATGAGAGCTTAAAATAAATTAATTGCTTCCAACATGTTTTAATTAAAATGTTTTAATTGAAATAGAACAATCAAATATAGAACAATTGTAAAGTTTAAATACATTTGTAATAATAAAAAAAAATTAACAATTCCAATAAGAAAGTAATAGGACTTTTCAAATCGCAAAAAATCACATCCTTAGCGATTAGCTAATCGCATTGTTTCAAATTGTGATTTCGATTTTAAATCGATTAATCGTTCATCCCAAGTCAAGCCTCCCTTGATGTGGACTGCCGAGTTGACGGAAGCTGGCCGTGGTGCTACAGGTCGCACGCTGCCAATCCACAGTTCGTCACGATCGGTTCAATCTCGCCCCCACCACTCGCCTCTGTCCACGCAGCTGTACCAACGGGTACACCCACGGTTAGTCGCTAGGCAGCTTCCGTGCGGTGGAGTAAAGTGTGCGTACTCCCAGTAGAATACTAACACCCTTGACGGGGTCTCTGTAGGGCCTCCTCTCGCGGAGGCCTGTTCCGCCAGCAGTGGCGCGAGCGAGTGCTTGCAGGGGCTGCGCCTTTACCCTGCATTGAAGTGTCGATGCCAGTAAGCGAGCGGGCGGGCGAGTTACAAGCAGCTAACTGGAGACTGCTCTGCGCAGGCGTTCGAAGACATCTACATCGACCAGCGCAAGATGATCAAGACGGTGCTGGAATACGCCGACAAGGTGTTCTCCTACATCTTCGTGATGGAGATGCTGCTCAAGTGGGTGGCCTACGGCTTCCACACGTACTTCACCAACGCGTGGTGCTGGCTCGACTTCCTCATCGTGGACGTACGTAGCGCGTCGCAGTACGATCGCCAGGCCCGCGGTACGCCGGGCGACCTTCCGACGGCTCCCCACGTTAAGGTCGCCCACGTGGGGCCTGAGTAAAAAAAATATATATATACACGAAATAAAAAAAAGAGAGATAAACTAAATAATGAATACAAAACAACGTACAAAAAAAAACCGGGACGTGTTTAATAAGAAGGATGTTTAACAATAGCAGGAGAGGGGAGAGTTACGCGCGAGCCGCGTTGTCTCGGCGCAGCTGCAAGCGCAGCCCCGCGGTTTTTTTTGCTCACGTCAGTGCGGGCGCAAGGGGAATGCCCGCCGGCGTTAACGTCTCTCCCTCGCAAATAAATCATCGCGGGCGTACCCGCTCCCCTTCCACGCGCCCGTGTGATCCACGCCTCAAAGCCTCCACATCACCCAACGCTTCGCTGGCATTCTACACCCTCACACCCTTCCCACCCCCCCCACCACACCGCTACTCCCTCTAACCTCTCACAAAATCATCATCTCAAGTGGGGTGCTGTGCTCGCCGGTATGCGGACCGGATGGAGAGTAATTGCGCGGTATAACTTCGTGCTGGCTTGAAGACTAAAATAAAATGTGAGGGGCAAATGAGTATAAATGTACAGGTAATTTTTAATATTCATTAAATTAATTAATACGATATCATCCATATATCAGGAAGGTTTGTCACTTAAAATTAGGTTTGTCACTTAAAATTAGTTTTAGTTCTTACAACATTTACAATCCCAGTACCGTGACGTTTCGCTGGCGATTACAACAACCAGCATCATCAGGCGATTAGCCACAATTGTGAAGGAAGTTGAGATAAACGACATGTGATGGATCCCGTCCGATCACAGACGGTTACAGTCAGGAAGTTACCACGCAATAAGCCATCGTGCGACGGATTCCGTCGGAACAATCACAGACGGTTCTAATGGAGAGGTTACCGTGAAATAGTTACTTCTGTTTTACATCGTATTTTGGCGCGGCTCGCGAGGCCAGCAAATCCGTCCCCTCGTAGCTTTGTGAACGTGGTGGATTCCTCGGCCGCGTTTGACTCTCGCGTGAAGGCTGGGGTGTCTGCCTGTTCTGCAAGCGAGCCCGCAACCCTCTTGCCACTAACGTGTCGTTGTTTCAGTAGAAATCGTCCAATTTCGCCGTCGGTTTTTACGGTCATGGTGGTTTTCATGCTCGTCGAGTGAAGCAATCCGAGGATTTTGCACCGTCGGTTGCACGAATACAAAAGCGTTATTCGGTTTAGTCGGTCATCTTAATGTAGATTGTTGGTTTCACGCACAATGTGTTGTTACCCCCCCCCCCCCGACTCCCCGTGTCTCCCCCGTCACCCCCTCGCCCCAGGTGTCCCTGGTGAGCCTCGCGGCAACCGCCATGGGCTACTCGGAGCTCGGAGCCATCAAGTCCCTGCGTACGCTCAGGGCCCTGCGACCTCTCCGTGCTCTGTCTCGCTTTGAAGGCATGCGGGTAAGGCTCCGTCGCGTCAGAGGGCCTCCTTGCGTTGTCCTCCTTTCATTGTCTTCCTTCCATTCTTCCTTCCATTGTCTTCCTTCCGTTGTCTTCCTTCTGTTGTCTTCCTTCCGTTGTCCTTCCATTGTCCTCCTTCTGTCCTCCTTTTGTCCTCCTTCTGTTGTCCTCCTTCTGTCCTCCTTCTGTCCTCCTGTCCTCCTTCCGTTGTCCTTCTTCTGTTGTCCTCCTTCCATTGTCCTCCTGTCCTCCTTCCGTTGTCCTCCTTCCGTTGTCCTCCTTCCGTTGTCCTCCTTCCGATGTCCTCCATCCAACGTCCTCCTTCTGATTTTCTCCGAACCAAGGTGTCCTTCTGATCGCCTATCTGACCAAGTCCTGACGTGATTTGTTCGCGTTTGCTGACGCCGGTAAGAAACATTCAGCCGTGAGCTGTTTTACGTGAATGACACGCGGAGGACCTCGGTCGTAAAAAAAAAGGGAAGTTACAGCGGGGAACGAATCGTAAACGCTGCAGACGCCCGAGTAGCAAACACATTGTAGGAAGGCGACATTCAAGAGGTGATGCACATCATTTAAGGACCGTATTCAAGAAGAGAATTCACCTCCCCTCCCCCCCCCAAAAAAAAAACCTGTCTGTAAGACAGAGTGGTGGTGGTCGTGAAGGTCGTGGGGGTCGTGGCGGTCGTGGGGGTCGTGCTGGGCGGCGTCTCAAGCAGATCATTCACCTCTCCCCATCTGTAGGACCGAGTGGCGGTCGCGGGGGTCGCAGGGGTCATGGGGGTCGCGGGGGTCATGGGGGTCGCGGGGGTCGCGGTGATCGTGGCGGTCGTGCCGCGCCGCCGTCTCTCCGCGCCGCCGCTTCGCGCGCCGCCGCGCGAACGTTCACTTATTCAACGGCGCTCGCCAAAAATAATTCCTCGCAGCCGACCCACCGCGGGGAAACGCTCGCAGGCGTTGACCCAATTTCATTTTACATTTCTCCGTCGACTTGAAAGGCTGAGATTGGAGGTGGGGGGGGGGGGGGGGGGGGGGGGGCTTTGGGGGGTGGTAGCCGCGCCATGCCCACGCCACCGAGTGGTGGAGGCAGGGCCATTCCTAGGGTGTACGGCGAATCGATGCGACCGCCCAGGGCCCCCCGCGTTTTGCCCCCCCCCCCCCCCCCCCCCCCGCGCTTCCATGTCACGGTGTTGGATGTAATACTTCCGGTTTGGTTTGAAGGCGTCGCGGGGGGGGGGGGTCCACACGGTGGGGTTTGTCCTGGCCCCCCCCCCCACCCACCCCCATAGATGGCCCTGCGTGGAGGTGATCGTTAGACTCTCTGTGAATTGTCACACCATTTGTTTTGTGATGCCGCGTGGAATGTGGCGCGTAAATACGAACAACTCAATTTGCCCTGTAATTACTCCCAGATGCCTTCATTTCATATCTGTCCATTATCTGGGGATCCCATCAGAGACCAGTCTGCCTGTCTATTAATGTCTAATTGACGTGTCCGTCGTGCTACGTGACACAACTTTTGTAAAGTGTTTTTGTTCTCCCTCCCTTTTTCCCTCCCTTTTTCCCCTCCTTCTCCCCCCTCCTCCCTCCGCCGATCCCTCTCTCCCTCAATCTCTCTCCTCCCTCCCTCTCCTCCCTCCCTCTCCTCCTTCCCTCTCCTCCTTCCCTCGCTCCCCCCTTCCCTCCCTCTCCTCCCTTCCTCTCCTCCTTCCCTCTCCTCCTTCCCTCTCCTCCTTCCCTCCCTCCCCCCTTCCCTCCCTCTCCTCCCTCCCTCTCCTCCTTCCCTCCCTCCCTCCCTCCCTCCCTCCCCCCTTCCCTCCCTCTCCTCCCTCCCTCCCCCCTTCCTTCCCTCCCTCCCTCTCCTTCCCTCCCTCCCCCCTTCCTTCCCTCCCTCCCTCCCTCTCCTTCCCTCCCCCCTTCCCTCCCTCCCTCCCTCCCTCAATCCCTCTCCTCCCCCCGCCTCCCTCCCTCCTCCGGTGTTCGTGCGCTCCAGGTGGTAGTGAACGCGCTGGTGGGCGCCATCCCGTCCATCATGAACGTGCTGCTCGTGTGCCTCATCTTCTGGCTCATCTTCAGCATCATGGGCGTCAACCTGTTTGCGGGGAAGTACTTCTACTGCGTGAACACGACGAGTGGCAGCCGCTTCTTGCCCGAGGTGGTCAACAACTTCTCCGATTGCCTCGCGCTCAAACTAAGCACTCAAGAGGCACGCTGGCTCAACGTCAAGGTCAACTACGACAACGTTGGCTTCGGCTACCTGGCCCTCCTCCAAGTCGTGAGTGTTCCTCACTTGCTTCTTGTGAATGACAACAAATGTTATTGTTTAAAGTTAATATCGTGACAACGAGGGAAACCGGCACCGGTTTGGGCGCACGTGGTGCAAGACGGACAACAACAAAGTTGCGTTGTTCGGGGGGGAAATGGAAGGAACCAGAATGAGAGGAAGACCTGACGAAGAATGGCGTGGACGACGACATCGTAAGAGATTGGTGCCGGAAAGATGTGGCACCGGTTGAGCACATTGCCACAAAGACAGAGGAAAGTGAAAACAAATGGCGAAATGTTGCAGTGGACACCTACAGGCTATCTGCCCGTGGATCGCGATAATGATGATTTTTTTAAATGCTAAAATTTTGAAACGCTCGCAATAATCTACGGACGTGAACGACCGTGACTGAGGCGTGCAGCCGCGCTCAAGCGTCGCTCCGAGGTGATAGAGTTGGGGCCTTTTGAGTGCCCCTTAAAAGTCGGTTGCGGAGTGAACGACGCTCGCTGTTGCTGCGAATTTGCAGCGGCAGCGGGATGACGATGATGATGGCCCGCGTTCCAGACGGCGGGGGGCTGCCGCTCCTCGGTGTAGCGACGGCGGAGAAGGTGGCGGCGGTTGTGTTCATCGTCTTGATTGGAAGCCTTAGCGTGTGTCAACCATCGCGCCGTGGGGGACATCCCTTTCGGCAAGGGATGCTGAATAAAAAGTTCCGCCCCCCGACTCCCCCATCCCTACGCCCCCTCCCCACCACCACCACCGGCCACCCCAACCCAACTAAACCTCTCGCCTTTGCCCCTTTCACCGTAGGCGACGTTCAAGGGCTGGATGGACATCATGTACGCGGCGGTCGACTCACGCGGAGTAAGTTAGTTGAGCCCCCCGCCCCCTCACGCCCACACCCTGTAATGGCGTTGTAATCTGATCCGAGCGAAGTGATTTGATTTTTCCCCTCGGGGTAACCGGAGCGATCGATGAGATGCGGTTTTCCCTCCTCCGGGGGGGGAAACGCGGCGGGCGCTTTTTGAGGCGGGTTGCCGTGCCGCCGCTTAACCGCCATCGTTGTACTGTACACACGAGTCGCCGGGCGCGAGGGAGTTTGACGAGTGGCGGCGATGTCCACGCGCCCGTCGTGTACGCGTAAACGTCGCCACTGGGGAGACAAAGGCGGCTGGGCGTGGTGCTGACCACCCACCCCCTCGCGCGCTGTTCCAGCTTTCATAGTGCTGCTCGCTAACAGCACTTCCGCCAACAGTCTGTTAAGGCTTTACGGGGGGGGGGGGGATTTTTTTCTTTTTGTCTTGTGCGCTTCTGCACGAATGCATTCGGCGAATGCACGTTGGACAACGCGCGTGGGCTCGTGGAAAGCTCAACACGCTCGTCAGTATCCCTCCGCGCTCGCCATTCGTGTGCGCCGAAGAACGGCCATGGCTTAAAACGTCACTTTATCATCTACTTTTGTTTTTTTCCCTTTGAGGTCGCAAATGCGTTGGGGGGGGGGGGTGGGGGGGGGGGTCATCTGTGCGGTCGCCGTTCTGTTGCGGCTTGACGGAGGAGCCGCCACTGCCCCCTTGGCAGGACGAAGCCGTTGCCGAGCGGCTGCGGTCGGGGCCCCCCGACGAGGCGTCCGTCAGGAGCCTCGGCGGAACTTCCGCGGTGTTGGGAGCCTTTGGAACGCTTATTTATTCATTCATGCCGGAAGAATCCGATGAGCTCCAAAGCTCTTTTGTCACAGACGTTTAGTGCAGTTGGACGCACCCCCGCCCCCCCCCCCCCCCCCCCGCGTCGTCCGGTCTTGTCGCGCGAGAGCGCCGATCACCGATTGGTTCCCGGCATCTCGGGACGGGCGCCACGGAGGGTCGAGCGGGACGGGCTTCGACGCATCACGGGAGGGCCCCGTGCCTCCTCCGATCGTTCACCGCCCCCCCCCCCCCCCCGCCTCCCCGCCTGTTCCGGGTGTCGCGACGACAGCGTCACCTTTGACCCGACGCGGCCCCTGCTGGGTCGAAGGAGAGGTCTAGCCCCTCCCCCAGCCCGGTGATTCCCGGCCCCCCCCCCCACCGGCCCCCCGCATCACACGCCAGCAGAGACGCGGCATCTCGCGCCAACGCCCCGGCTAAATATACAGGGTAGGTAAATAAATAAATAAAGGCGACACCGCTTTAATTATAACCCGCTCCGTTTCAAGTTCGCTTTGGCATCTTCAAGGTTTCTTGCCGTTATCGTTTAATATTTTTTTTAAAAATTATATTTCGAGAGCTCCTCAGGCGCGATTTTTTCGCGGTTCGCGAGGTGTTGCGACGCCTCGCCTGGGTCGTTTGTCACCTGATGAAGTGGTAAATGTGTCACTTGGACGATGACAATGAGGTCACCGAGTTCACTTGGCATTGAACAAAGACAGTTAGGAGGTAATGTGTCACCTGACAGAGCTCAAGATTAGGCCCCCTTGTCATCGTGCAAAGCTAAAGATTAGGTTATTTACTGCCCGATAAAGCCAGTAATGAGGTAAACTGTCACCTAAAAAGCTACTGATGAGTTTGATATCTGGAAAATGCCAGGGGTGAGCTAATTTGTCACGCGAATTCGTGATGAATTAATTAAGGTCACTTGCCCTCTGATAAAGCCAGCGATGAGGTATTTTGCCATTTGCCACCTGACATAGCTAGTGATGAGGTGATGTCACCTCAAACATTTACCGGTGTCATTTTTTTTTGTTACCTGACGATGAGAATGATTTTATTATTTCAGTGACGTCTCTGTCTCCACACGTTTTAAAAGGGCAGCCCCCCAGTGGCAGCTGTCCCTGTGTGGCACTGGGTGATGGGTGACTAGGCGTCTGGCCTGCATTTAGCCCACGGGCAGTGGGCAATGAGTGACGTGTGCGCCATCCCAGCTGAGTAATTCCATGGAAAACAACAAAATAAAACACGAGGCGTGAAGATGTTCGAAACACCAAACAGATGCCTATTGCAGGCCATCAAGTCCGCATTCGCCGCACGTGCTCGTGGCAGAAACATACTCCGATAAATATTTTCATTGCCCAGAACAGGTCAAAGCCGATTCTTTTATTATCTTCGTCGTTTTTGTCCAAATTCGGAGCGTGAGGGCCGGAAACAGCAACGGGGGGGGGGGGGCCCTCCTCTTGTTGGCACACCGCAGACAGTAACCGGTCAGGAGGGGGCGGGCGACCAGCCGGGTTCGAACCGCAAAGCCTCGGGGGGGCCAACGTTGAGTGTCCCGTCCCCCCCCCTCCCCCCCCCCCCCGCGCGTCGTCCTGCAGGTTACCGAGCAGCCCATATACGAGACGAACATATACATGTACCTGTACTTCGTCATCTTCATCATCTTCGGCTCCTTCTTCACGCTCAACCTCTTCATCGGCGTCATCATCGACAATTTCAACCAGCAGAAGAAAAAGATAAGTTGACGTCGTCGCTCGCGGGAGGGGCGCGCGAGGCGTGACGGCGTGCGCGAGTTCGCGCCCCCGGGAGGGATAAGGCAGTGCGGCAAGTCGGCACGACGGGCGGCCGCGCCTGCGCGCGGTGCTATCGCTTCGCACGCTCGGGCGTTCTCTCTCGGGGCGCTCGCAAGCCGAGGTCGAGGTCATTTTTGGAACCGATGAAGCGGACAGCGAGGGGGAATTTGTCACCTGATGAAACCTAACGGTGAGGGAATTTGTCGGCTGACAAAGCCAACGGTGTGGGAATTTGTTACCTAACAAAAAACAACGGGCAGGGAATTTGTCACGTGACAAAGCCAGCGGTGACGGAATTTGTCAGCTGACAAAGGCAATGGTGATGGAATTTGTCAGCTGACACAAGGCCAGTGCCCAGGCCATGTTACCGGACTAAGCCAACAATAAGATCTTGTCAACTGACTCCACAAGGGATTAGCCAAACATGCCGAACGGGACCCTGTTTAATACACACAGAGACAAATATCCCCCGTGTATTCTTAACATACTGTTGGGACAAGTGGAGTGACCGAGTAGCACCTGTGAAGGCCGGCAAGTGGGTGGCATGGGCCAGAACCAGGCCCCGGCCGCCTTTGTCTCCCCAGTGATAAGTGGTAGGCCAGCACACGTGGCCTACCCTTTATCAAACAACGTCATGGGACCCGTAACATTCGCTGCGAAGCAGACAGCGCATCGTCCATTATTATCAATACACCCACGGAGTCGATCAGGACGGCCACTGTGTATGGCAATACTGTGGTTGACGATACTGTCAGTGATGACGCTGTGTGATGATGCTGTGAATGATGATGCTGTGTGTGATGATGCTGCGTGTGATGATGCTGTGTGTGATGATGATGCGTGTGATGACGCTGTGTGTGATGATGCTGCGTGTGATGATGCTGCTTGTGATGATGCTGTGTGTGATGATGCTGCGTGTGATGATGCTGCGTGTGATGATGCTGTGTGTGATGATGCTGCGTGTGATGACGCTGTGAGTGATGATGCTGCGTGTGATGATGCTGCTTGTGATGATGCTGTGTGTGATGATGCTGTGTGTGATGATGCTGCTTGTGATGATGCTGTGTGTGATGATGCTGCGTGTGATGATGCTGCTTGTGATGATGCTGTGTGTGATGATGCTGCGTGTGATGATGCTGCGTGTGATGACGCTGTGTGATGATGCTGCGTGTGATGACGCTGTGAGTGATGATGCTGTGTGTGATGATGCTGCGTGTGATGATGCTGCGTGTGATGATGCTGTGAGTGATGATGCTGTGTGTGATGACGCTGTGAGTGATGATGCTGCGTGTGATGACGTCATGCTAGATAATGCTGTAGTCGATGATGCTGCGTGCGATGATGCTGTGTGTGATGATGCTGTGAGTGATGATGCTGCGTGTGATGACGCTGCGTGCGATGATGTCATGCTAGATAATGCTATGGTTTATGATGCTTGTGATTGATGTTGCTGCGTGTAATGACGCTGCGTGCGATGATGTCATGCTAGCTAATGCTATGGTTTATGATGCTTGTGATTGATGTTGCTGCGTGTAATGACGCTGCGTGCGATGATGTCATGCTAGCTAATGCTATGGTTTATGATGCTTGTGATTGATGTTGCTGCGTGTAATGACGCTGCGTGCGATGATGTCATGCTAGCTAATGCTATGGTTTATGATGCTTGTGATTGATGTTGCTGCGTGTAATGACGCTGCGTGCGATGATGTCATGCTAGCTAATGCTATGGTTTATGATGCTTGTGATTGATGTTGCTGCGTGTAATGACGCTGCGTGCGATGATGTCATGCTAGCTAATGCTATGGTTTATGATGCTTGTGATTGATGTTGCTGCGTGTAATGACGCTGCGTGCGATGATGTCATGCTAGCTAATGCTATGGTTTATGATGCTTGTGATTGATGTTGCTGCGTGTAATGACGCTGCGTGCGATGATGTCATGCTAGCTAATGCTATGGTTTATGATGCTTGTGATTGATGTTGCTGCGTGTAATGACGCTGCGTGCGATGATGTCATGCTAGCTAATGCTATGGTTTATGATGCTTGTGATTGATGTTGCTGCGTGTAATGACGCTGCGTGCGATGATGTCATGCTAGCTAATGCTATGCTTTATGATGCTTGTGATTGATGTTGCTGCGTGTAATGACGCTGCGTGCGATGATGTCATGCTAGCTAATGCTATGGTTTATGATGCTTGTGATTGATGTTGCTGCGTGTAATGACGCTGCGTGCGATGATGTCATGCTAGCTAATGCTATGCTTTATGATGCTTGTGATTGATGTTGCTGCGTGTAATGACGCTGCGTGCGATGATGTCATGCTAGCTAATGCTATGGTTTATGATGCTTGTGATTGATGTTGCTGCGTGTAATGACGCTGCGTGCGATGATGTCATGCTAGCTAATGCTATGCTTTATGATGCTTGTGATTGATGTTGCTGCGTGTAATGACGCTGCGTGCGATGATGTCATGCTAGCTAATGCTATGGTTTATGATGCTTGTGATTGATGTTGCTGCGTGTAATGACGCTGCGTGCGATGATGTCATGCTAGCTAATGCTATGCTTTATGATGCTTGTGATTGATGTTGCTGCGTGTAATGACGCTGCGTGCGATGATGTCATGCTAGCTAATGCTATGGTTTATGATGCTTGTGATTGATGTTGCTGCGTGTAATGACGCTGCGTGCGATGATGTCATGCTAGCTAATGCTATGCTTTATGATGCTTGTGACTGCTCGTGCCGTGTGTGATGTCGCTGCTGCGCGGTAACGACGGTGCCGTGGCTGGCGCCCGCGGCACCAAACGGTGCGGCAAGCGTCCGCAATGGGCGGCAAACTCCTCGGTGAAGGCGAACGCCGACGTTCTCTGCGAGCGCGAGCTCTCGAGTTCCCGGTTGTAACCAGCGTGGCGTTGTCTCCCGCGTACTTTGGTGGTGAGGATATCTTCATGACGGAGGAGCAGAAGAAGTTCCACAGCGCCATGAAGAAGCTCGGCTCCAAGAAGCCGGTGAAGCCGATACCGCGGCCGTCGGTGAGACGCTTTGCTCGCGTCGCCGCCGCCGCCACCGCCGCCTCCATCATCATCAGCGGCGTCATCGTCGTCATTCTCGCCGTTGTCATTATCGTCGTCGTCGTCACCGGGTTTCCCGGCCTTCATGAAGCGTCGTCGCTGTCATGGTTATCGATGCTTTCGTCGTCGTCGTCGCCAGGAACATTGTCATCGTCCTCATCGTTATCGCCCATCGCTGAAATGACTGCCGTCGTCGTCGCCATCGTTATTCGGATCATCACCATCGTCACTGATATCGTCATCATCATCATCATCAGTCACCATCGTCATTGTCTCATCATTGTCATAACAGTCGTAATTATCGTCTTCGTCATCATTGTCAGCATCTATTGTCACCGTCATCATTCGGACCATCACCATGGTCATTGCCTGCGTTCCTCAGGACGCCCACCAAACAGGTGGAGTGGAGAAATCAGCTCTTGTGGAAGGCGCTAGATGGGTCGTTGCTTCGTGAGATCTTGAGGAAGCCTTCACATTCAGTGGTGTATAGATTATGGCTGATTGCTGATAGATAATGACATCGACGACGCGGCCCCTCCGCTCGCTCTTCACGATAAGACGCATTGTGAACAGGGGTGCTGCGGTGGCTAGGAGATGTTAACTATCTCGCCTGGTATACAGGAGGTTGTGGGTTCGATCCTGACCCTGACGCCTGCTGTATATTTGAAGTTTGCATGCTCTCTCTCCTCGTGGTCATGTAGATTTTTCTCCGCGTCCTCCGGTTTTTCCCTCCTTATTTATAATCAACGCGCGTTTACGAGTATTTGGCTGTTAGGAATTTCCACGTGTTAAGCCACTTCTCGTTGAGCTATCATTTGTAGCCAAATGTTGAACTTCTTTCGCACCATACGTAGCCATCCGTGCTTATCAGAGGTGACTGTTGTTATGAAATGCAAGCACACAGGGATATATGTCAGACGCCAAAAAATATATATGCTATCGTGTTTTAGGCATTTCAATTAATATGGCAGATTATATAAAAAAAGTTTTTAGCGAAAGTGCGCTAATTGATAAAAAATATATTTAACTTAATTTTTATGCTGCTGAATGTTTTTTTTGACATTGCGATTATCATTCGCTATTTTTTATTTCACTTATCTGCTATTGTTAATTATTTTATGTATTTTACTGTGACTTGTTGCTAATGTCAGAGGAGCGGCGGTGTTGTTTTTTTGTTGATGAAACCCGATTCAAGAGCTCATTGGCTCACAGGGTTATTCAAAATAAACTGAAACTGAACCGAGCAGTCTGAAGACAAACAATAGTAGCAATGCAAAATGTGGATTGTATGAAGCAAAATGGGCAGATCAGTTCTCCCATAATGCCTTGCACATCACGTGACGGTTCACCTCTTGTATGTAAGATTATTATTGTTACCCTTGGATCGCAGACTCCTCGACACGGTCTCTCTCTCTCACGGAGCTCTATAGCTGCATATAGTTCAGTGGGCCTTACCTGGTAAAATAAATAAAAGTAGGTTTTTATATTTTAAAAAGATAGGTTCTCATATCTTCAATGTGTATTTTTAGAACCCCTCGTACCGCGACGCTAATTCCGCCCCTCCCGTCGTCCGCTCCTCCCACGCAGAACGTCGTCCAGGGCTGGGTGTACGACCTGGTGGCCAAGCAGGCCTTCGACATCATAATCATGGTCCTCATCTGCCTCAACATGGTGACAATGATGGTGGAGGTCGACGATCAGAGCCAGTTGATGAGCGACGTTCTCTACTACGTCAACCTCATCTTTATCGTGGTCTTCACCGGGGAGTGCCTCCTCAAGCTCTTCTCGCTCCGTCACTACTACTTCACCGTCGGGTGGAACATTTTCGACTTCGTGGTGGTCATCCTGTCCATCGTGGGTGAGTTGACGCGTAGGTCGCGCCATCAGGTTCGTTGGGCTGGTGAGGTCAGGGAGCCAGAGGTCACCTTCATGACGGTAACAATATATTTTTTATTTTACCAGGTAAGGCACCCACTGAGCACGGTCACTCTTTTTCAGAAGCCGCCACAAATGATCGCGCAACCAAGTGGCTTTTGACGTGGAAATTTATAGCAGCAGCTAAGTACTCAGAACGCGTGATGGTGATTCTAAATGTGGATGGTAAAACCGGAGGATCCGGAAAAAAATCCACGCCACCACGGGGAGAGAGACACGCAAACTCCGAATATACAGTAGGCGTCAGGGTCGGGATCGAACCCACGGCCTCCTGTATACCGGGCGAGGTCGTTAACATCTCTGAGCCACCGCGGCACCTGTGCGAAGTTGCGATGTTCGACAATGCTTGTAAACGCAACGTGCCGTCGGAGAATGACGCCCGTACGTATGTTGAACTTCTTTCGCACCGTGCGCTGGTGCGGGCGTGGGGGGGAAGGACAACAAACCAAACACAATAAGCGCGTGTGTGTCCGCGTGTGTGTGCGCGTGTGTGTGCGCGTGTGCGTCCGCGTGTGTGTGCGCGTGTGTGTGCGCATGTGCGTGCGCGTGTGTGTGCGCGTGTGTGTGCGTGTGTGTGTGCGTTTGTGTGCGTGCGTGTGTGTGCGCATGTGTGTGCGCGTGTATGTGCGTGCGTGTGTGTGCGCGTGTGCGTCCGCGTGTGTGCGTGCGTGTGTGTGCGCGTGTGCGTCCGCGTGTGTGTGCGCGTGTGTGTGCGCGTGTGTGTGTGCGCGTGTGTGTGCGCGTGTGTGTGCGCGTGTGTGTGCGCGTGTGTGTGTGCGCGTGTGTGTGCGCGTGTGTGTGCGCGTGTGCGTGTGTGTGCGCGCGTCTCGCAGGCATCTTGCTGGCTGACATCATCGAGAAGTACTTCGTGTCCCCAACGTTGTTCCGCGTGATCCGCCTCGCCCGAATCGGGCGAGTGCTCCGCTTGATCCGCGGCGCCAAGGGCATCCGCACGCTGCTCTTCGCGCTCATGATGTCGCTGCCGGCGCTCTTCAACATCGGCCTGCTGCTCTTCCTCGTCATGTTCATCTTCTCCATCTTCGCCATGTCCAACTTCGCCTACGTGCGGCGGGAGAGCGGCATCGACGACATGTTCAACTTCGAGACGTTCGGCAACAGCATGATCTGCCTCTTCATGATCACCACGTCGGCCGGCTGGGACGGCCTCCTGAACCCCATCCTCAACAGCCCGCCCGACTGCGACCTTGAGCAGGAGCACCCGGGCACGTCGGTGAAGGGCGACTGCGGCAACTCGCCGGTGGGCATCGCCTTCTTCACCAGCTACATCATCATCTCCTTCCTGGTGGTCGTCAACATGTACATCGCCATCATCCTCGAGAACTTTAACGTGGCCACGGAGGAGAGCACCGAGCCGCTGAGCGAGGACGACTTCGAGACGTTCTACGAGGTGTGGGAGCGCTTCGACCCGGACGTGACGCAGTTCATGGAGTGGGAGCGCCTGTCGGACTTCGCCGACGCCCTGGACGACCCGCTGCGCGTCGCCAAGCCCAACAAGATCCGCCTCTACAACATGGACCTGCCCATGGTGATAGGCGACCGCATCCACTGCCTGGACATCCTCTTCGCCTTCACCAAGCGCGTGCTGGGCGAGGGCGCCGGGATGGACGCGCTCAAGCAGCAGATGGAGGACCGCTTCATGGCGGCGAACCCCTCCAAGATCTCCTACGAGCCCATCACCACGACGCTGCGGCGCCGGCAGGAGGAGCTGGCGGCCCGCGTCATCCAGCGCGCGTACCGGCGCCACCGCCTGCGCGCGTCGCTCAAGAAAATTCACGACGGCGACGCCAAGCCCGGAGCGGGCGACGGGGCGGACGCCGGGCCGAAAGACGCCGCCACGGCGGAGGTGCCCGAGCCGGCGGCGGCGGCGGCTCAACCAGAAGCGGAGGTCGTCGCTCCCGAAGCGGCGTCGCCGGACGCGTCGGCGACGGTGGGATCTGCGCCGTTGCCCGGCGAACCTCCTGCGACGCCGGACGACGCCGTCGACAAGGGGGCGGAGCGTAAAGAAGAAGGCGACAAAGGCGGCGTCACCGCTGCGCAGCTCAAGCCAGGAGACAAGGACTTCGAGGGCAAGAACATACGGGAGTCCGTCGTCTAGCGGCGCACGCGCACCGCCTCTTCGCGTCCGACCCAAGCGGCGTCGTCGCCGAGAGGTTCGGCCCTTTCTGACGGGACGGGGCGCTCCGCGGTGCCGAGCTGGCGCTGTCTCTCCGGCTGCCGCGCGTGTGCGGGGCGGCCCGCGTCGTGGGGACGCCCGCGGCCGCGCCGGGATGACCGCCCGCGACGCCCATACCACCGACGCCTGTCGGCAAAACATGCATCTCGCTCGGATGCCAAAATTATGCAAACTGCTTGCTGCGAATCGCACTTGCGCAAAGTGAAAAACAACAACTGTGATCAAGTAATGACTTGCCAACAAAGCATCGCTCTGACGAACGTTGCGTGGACACTATCGTTTTTATTTTTGTGCACTTTTGCCAGGAGATGCACCCACGTCGAGTCGTACGCTCCCGGCGCAGCTTTCGCGCGAGCTCGCAGACAGAAGGCGCACGTTTGAAGAAAAAACAAAAAAAAGATCGTTGTTAACAAATTCAACGGGCCGCCGTTATTGTTTCGTTTCTTCGGAAAAGAAAGCCGGAATCTACTCCGAAATTATTTATTGCGACGGAAAGCTCCGGGTTAAAGCGAGGTCAGGTGGGGAAATACGCGGGGAGAGAAGGCGGCGGTGGGGTGGACGGGGGGGGGGGGGGGTCACGGCGCTCAACGCGACGCAATCGTCGCTCTCCGACCCGTCCGCGGAAGCCGCGGCGCGACTCGCGAGCGTTCGGCTGACGTCGGCCGCCACCTCGGCCAAGTCATCCACCAGCTGCAAAATCGCCACGGTGCCCGCCCGCCCGCCCGCCCGCCCGCCCGACCGCCCCTACCCACCCGCCTCTACCAGCCCGCAATTGCAGCTGCAACCAAAAAAACAACAACAATGTGCACGTGGTACATCAATCTGGCTAGAAGGAGCCGCCACCACGAAGCAAGAGCCGGAACGGCGTGACGTCGACGGGACAATCGAGCGGGTTTGCACGACGCATGCCATTTACACCGCCCCGGGATTTAGAGGGGTTTTTTTTGGGGGGGGGAGGGGGGGGAAGGATAAATAAATAAACGTTGCGGCGACGGAGCCAGCGAGCGGATGAAGCATGCGTTTGAGCGAAGTGGCTTCCGCAGTGAGGTGATGCAGCAAGGTTCTGCTTTTTTAAATCGTTATTTTTAATTCTTTCAACGCCCTGGGACATCGCCATCGTCATGATGATAATGATGATGATACGTATCGACGCTTGCATGTTCTGATGTGTATAAGGTATGCAGAAACTATTACCGTTATGAATGTTATTCTTATTACGATTACTTTAATTATTTCTTTTGTATTTTTGCACACGGACCCTGCCGATGTCTGTGACAGCCTCAAGGGGATCCCGACCGTCCCCACCCCCCCCCCCCCCTCCCACATTGTCTCAACGGACACTTTAAGTTTAAGGATTTAGGGGATTTAATTTTTATTTTCCCCTGCCTCCCAGCGGTTTATGTTTCTATAATGTGATATACTACGCTGTTATGAAAGAAATTGCTGCTGCTCCAAGTGAATATTCAATAATATTAATGATAATAAAAAAAACATTGGAGACAAAAAAACACAAACAGCTCTCTCGCTCTGAATGGGGGAGAAAAGAAATTAAGCACAACTCGTCCTGCGTGAGAAAGACGGCGAACGCCGCGCGGGCGGGCGGGCGCGCTTCCCGTCACACGATTGCCAACGCGAGTTTTTTTTTTTGCGTTTGGGGAAGTTAACCTCATGGTGTTTTAATTTTTTGCTTGCGACGTGAAATTTCTGCCGCCTGCCGCTTCGCGGCCAGAGACGTGGGAGACGTGCGACGACGCCGAGGAGTGCGCACAAAGGAAGCGTTTGATAGGTCGTTGGCGAGCCGATTGGCAATTTTGCGTTGAGAGACGGACAGGGGCACACGTGCGTTATCGGAGGAGGAGGAGGAGGACACAACCGGGACGATGACACGATTGGAGGCGTTGAGAAAAGTTTAATTTGCCTTTGGGCGCTGGACGCGTCGCGGCTGGAAGGGATCATCTTCTTGTCGTGCGGCTGATGTAGACGCAGAGCAGCAATTTCACGTTACTATTTTTTTTGTTAAACCAGGTAAGGCCCCAATGAGCTGTACAGCTATCGCAAATGATATCTCAACTAAGTGGCTTATCACGTGGACGTGAATTGCAGCCAAAACACTCTTAGACGCGTGTTTCTAAATGTGGAGGGGAAAACCGGAGGCCCCGGAGAGAAAATCCACGTGACCTCGGGGAGAGAGCAAGAGACATGGAAACTCCAAATATACAGGGGTCGGGATCAAAACCACAACCTCCTGTATACCAGGCGAGGCAATTAACATCTCGTCACATTCAGGTGGTTAATCCCGATAGCCGCGTCAGGAGCAGCAGAGCTGTTATCTGCTGCAATGTCTCCTCCTTCATATGATGGCACGGTGGTCCAGAATAATAGCGGAGCAGTGGCCAAGGAATGGGGGGGGGGGGGTTGACTTTGGCTGCCGATAAATGAGTTGAGTTGGCAGGTCATCGTTCTAGGCATCTCCCTGCTCAGATGGGCAATGGGGCGGTGCTCATCTCTCTTCCCCGGCCCTCAGCCAGCGGTGGGGATTCCACGTTATCCTGGCTGGGGCCAGTCTCACCATAGCATGACCACTGGTGACAACCCGACATTTTAATCGACCTTAGAGAATCGGTGTCCCGACTTGACCCTCTGACCGGGATTTTAACTGGCGACCTTCCGATCGCGAGCTGCTCTGAGCTCTGACCGCTTTGCTAAGTAATTTCTTTTGGGGGGGGGGGCAGCCAACCCCCCCCACCTCAATCCCCGACCTCTCCGTGAACTATTGGATTTGTTCCCCGCACAACGGCCGTGAATTTCGCTAAAGATTACCGCGAAGGTCGCAAGCTCGACCTATCGCGGCGGGGCCCGGACGTGTGGTACGTACGTAGCCAACCGTGTGAGTCGGAGGTGCGGGGGAAGGACGACAAACTAAACAAGGGACACGCGCCTCTTGCAGTGCCAAGAACAACAAACCATCGACCGCTTCTGAAACAGCGACCACCTGCTGGCTCGGTGCCCGAACCGATCGTCCGAGCGGGCGGCCGCGGGAGCGACAGAGGAATTGGAACTTCTTCTTGTCGTACGGCTGATGTGGGCGCAGAGCAACAACTGCAGTTGCACTTTCAGGTGGCCAAAGCCAGACAAGCGCGTCAGGAGCAGCGGAGTGGTGGTATCGCCGCGATGTATTTGTGGATCGGGGCATTGCGTCGTTCTACGTTGCACCGTCTGTTCTGGACGACCACAGTCGCACGTTGAACGACCGCCAGCCACGCCGCGGTGTGCCCGCGTCTTCATCTCCGCTGCCAACAACCTCCCGGGCACGGGGCTCTGAGCCCAACGCCCCGCCGCCCAGAGGCTCGACCCGTGGGAAAACGCCGGCGAGATGAGATTTTTTTTTTCTTTCAAAGTTTTTATTTATCACAGTTTCCGAGCACAGGCCCAAGAAACTGAAAAAGCCCGCAGCCAGTACGAAACAGCACGATTGCAGGCGTACTACACACGAGTTAATGCGCTGCTTGAATTGGTGGCGAGGTTATTATTACTATTGTGACAAGAGCATGGGGAAAGAAAGACGACGATGATGTGAGGAGAGTATTCCTAAAAGGTGGAGCAGTGCGAGGGAGGAGGTAGAAAAGATGAACGCTGTGACCATTCAACCGGCGACGCGTGAATCGGGAGCCCGAAGCACTGGCGAAATACAGCGTCGCTCCATCCGTGGGTGGGATACAGCTGCCGTGGTGTTGGCGATCGGTCGTTTCGATCTCCGGGCGCGGCAGTTGAAACAATGGGAGAAAAGTTTCTTAAAATCCGCTGCACCCCCGCCTCTGTTCCGACCCGGTCTCGGCCATCAATTGTGCTCGAGCCTGGCAGATCGCACCCGGCGGGGTGACGTGTGGGTAACCGGTCGATTGGCAGTGCGGCTTGGTAATCCCCGCCGTCTTCCAAAGCCGTCTTGGCCGGCCAGCACGGGAGAGTAGGCCGCAAAGTATCCGGCGGAGGGGCCATGCTCGGGTCGCCTCGAGTTTAAAGGCACTCCGCGCCAGCAGTGACGTGAGCAAGCAATTTAAAGACTGCACCTTCACTTTACCGAAAGAACCAAAGAGTATGGATTCCTGCAGTCACGAAAAGCTTCAAATCAAGATATTTATGATCTCCAAGAGAAGAGCTGTTTCTTTTGTGGGGGGGGGTGGGGCACGGGGGGTTTGTGTCTTTAGCTAATTCAATAGCAGGGACACGCACCTCTTGCAGTGTGCAGTGCCGAGAAGGACGGGCAGCCTCAGTCGCCCTGCTTGTTAGGAAGGCGGTGGGAGCCATCCACGAGAACTCCACAAACGACGCGGTTTTATTTTTATTTTATTTTTCCCGCAAATGAAATCAAACCCTGCGAGGCTGTGCCTCAAATTCCTCCACCCCCTCCCCCGCCACTTCTTCCACCCCGGATATTCGTCTAGGTGATCAAAAGTTCAGTCCTCCCTGTAAACTTATCGGCCCTTTCTGGCTGGGGGGGGGGGTGGTGGTAATTCACCCTTGTAAGGCACTCAGGGGGCGTCAGCGAAATCCAAATTTACTCCGGCATTCCGAGTCCCCCCAGGTTGTGCGAGCGGGGATCTGATGGCGAGGACATCGCGTCTGCAACGGGGTGGGTGGCATAGCGGATCAGATGATGCCCTCTCTCGCTCCGATCCTCTCTCTCCGATTCTGCCCAATGACGGGATAAGCGCCGTGTGCGCTCCGAGCAAAGCCCGCCTATCAACTTTACGTGCGGACACACGTGATACGATGGACGGCGGGGGAGAGGGGGCGGTGGGAAGGAATTCTGCACCACCACTCAAAGACCGTGTGACTCGTGACAGCTTTTATGCTTCATTAATTAAAGCGCCGTATGAGGCGGGGAGGCTTTTTTTTTGTCGGTATGAAATGTCAGTGGATCCGTGCCGGATTTCAGAAAGGAAGTAAATATTTTTACACGACGAGATCCAATCCGGGCCGCCCTCTAAATAGCCGCAGGTATTCGATACCAGCGTGTTTAATAACCCCCTTTTTTTTCCTATACGTCGTCCGAAAGCAAAATGCGAACGGGTTCGGAACTAATTATAATGTGCGAGTGATGCACGTTCATTCACGTCCTGAAAGCACGATGACTTCTAACCACCATCTACCTTTTTGGAATGTGGCAGATAATCCATATACAACAGCCGTAACTCTACCATGCGAGTGGCTGATGTAAATGCTGATGACGTTCCAGGAGGGGGCTTCAAAAAAACTGAAATCTGGCACATTTGTCACAGAATTTTAACTAAGGAAAAATCCAAAAAATTTCTGATTTGAGTCCCAAACAATAACAGCGACTGGTTTCACTCACGGGGCAGGCTTCGACGATAAGCAATCCAGCACACAGCAATCAATCAATATTTATATATATAACTAACTAGCTGGAAGTACCCGGCGTTGCCCGGGCCAAAAAATATTTCAAAACTACTCTTAAAAATCTAACAGCAGTGTGTACTGACTGTGGTGGTACCTGCTATGATTACAGCAGTCCATACCGACTATGGTGGTACCTGCTATCACTATAGTAGTACATGCTGACTATATAGCAGTATTTATCGACTCTATAGCACAACGTACTCACCTGACAGAGTGGCGTGGTGAGGCCTAGCCCCGTGCAGAGCCTCCGGCCTCGCCTAGATTGTCCAACCAGCCGAGGTGGCACCTTGGCAGGCTGGGGCTAGGCTGCTACCCCTGACCCCCCCAGCCACGATCTCACTGGCCGCTCTGCAGTAATATCTACGGCCTATAGTGGTAGGATCTAGCGACTGTATAGTAGTAGTAACTGCACGCATCGGGGTGGGGGGGACATCACACAGTGAAGAATTTACCTCAGAGTTTAGTGTATTTTTATAGCATTTTGAACGCGAAAGAAAATGTCCCCCTCACTCCCACGGAAGGCGTGCGACTTGGCATGGGCCGACCCCCCACCAAAGGCGCTTGAGTTGGTATGGTCGTGCACGCTTCATAAATAAATAAAAAGAAAGTACGCAAAAATCGCACTCAATCGCTAATAAAACTAATTTCAAGTTGACGGGTGTGCAAAAGGAATAGCGCTTGCTCACTGTGGGGCTTACGGCGTGGTACCTGGCTATTTGTATTTTACGTAAACACCACCATTGGAGAGCCAAACCCTTCGCAAAGCGCGCGAACACACAAACCCACACACAAACCCACTAAAAATGTTTACTTTTATATACAGTAAAACCTTGGATTGCGAGTAACTTGGTCTGCGAGTGTTTTGCAAGACGAGGAAATTTTTTCATAAATATGAATTTGATAAACGAGCGAGGGTCTTGCAATACGAGTAGTACGTATAGACGCGTTGTCTGCCGAACGTCACGTGATCACAACTGATATACGGGTGCTTTGATATACGAGTGCTTTGGATTACAAATACGTTTCCGGAACGAATTATGCTCGCAATCCAAGGTTGTACTGTATATACCAACAAAGCAATAACGCGGCCTCGATAATTTAAAAAAAACGAGTTAAAGCTTACGTTACCAATTACGACCACTTCCTACGATTCCCGTGGTGAGTTAGTCCTCGTGGCATTGACGAGCGTGAGCAGGCCGCATCTACTCTCTCGAATGCCTCGGAAGGTCGCAGAGTTCAGCGCCGACAAACTCAAAACCCCGAGAGGCAAAAAAACGACCCCCCCTCCCCAAGTTACCCGTTGCGAACGTCAGCGTTGTTTTGCCACGTGGCTCGGGCGCTCGGAACGTTTGCTGCCGGTCTCGCAGTCGGAACGCTGCCAGCTCCGGTGGGTTGACCTCAGGGCCCCCATCATCCCACCTGATGGGGGGAGCGGTCGCCACGGTGGCGAGATGGCGAGATGTTAACTACCTCGCCTGGTATGCATGAGGTCGTGTGTTCGATCTCGACCCTGACGCCTGCTGTGTATTTGGAGTTTGCACGTCTCTCTCTCTCTCATCATCATCACGGTGGCTAGATGTTAACTACCTCGCCCGGTATACAGGAGGTCATGGTTTCGATCCCGAATCCCCCCCGGCTCTTGTATATTCCGAGTGTGCGTGTCTCTCTCCCCGTGGTCGCGTGGATTTTTCTCCAGGTCCTCCGCTTTTTCTCTCCACGTTCAGAATCAACGTCACGCGTTTTAAGAGTTTTTGGCTGCTAGACATTTCCA